GTCGGATTCCCAGCTCTTAAAAAAGCTTTATGTATTTCTTTAAAGCGACTTGTCTCGTTATAGAGGAACTACAAACAGCAAAAATGTAACGCAATCTTCTTCAAGAACTCCCCTATTGTGTAAAGTGAATCAAATTTTAAAGTAATTGAAAACGGGAAAGGATTTCCACTTCACTTTAGCAACAAAAGCAGAGAGAAAAGAATGATGTTATGGTTTTATGAAGTGAATTTTTTGTTAGTGTGAGATTTGAGGACGCCACAAAAATAACTGCTTTAAAATTAATAGTGTCAAATAAGCATACACAAATTAGTTTTTTTTTCACCACATGATTTGGTATCTACGTATCTATGTACTTACTTAGGGATTTAACGAATCTTTTGTTTTAGCGAAAACATTACATAGTTTGTTTGAGACTAGTGACTAAAGTAAATGGATCCTAGATAGATCCCAGTAATTAACGAATCAATATTGATACAAATCTCGACAACAAATCCTGCCAGTGACAATGCTGCAATAAAAAGCTGTTATTTTCTTTGATTTCTGAAACCAGGGGTTATAAAGAATTGGGGAAAGTAATTTTAATGGAGACCGAAAGGAACATTCCAGTTTTGGTCATCAAAGCTGCCATGGAAATATTACTTAGTTGAGATTAAACTGATTCTATTTAATCCTTTGTTAATCGTTGTGAGAACCTGTTCTCCAAGAAACGATCCTTTGATCCCTCAATATTAACTTTTAATGGCGGCCATTCCGAAGGAATTAATATGCAATTTGCATGTTAATCGTCCATTCGACGGAAAATCGTAATTTTCGTCAAGATGAACTTTCTTAGGTCGTTAATGAAATTTTCAGTACGCTTAAATTGTTCCCAATTAAAAGGTCTGAATGAGTTACTCGAGTTGTTGATGTAAATAGTTTTTGAACTAATTAAGAAACTGCCCGAAAGAACACAAATTAATTAGACGAGACCGCTTACTCCTTTAATGATTCGACAATTTGTAACTTTAATATGCTTATGTACTTATAATTTATTTCCATATTATTCTTAATTAATCAATTCATATTAATAACGCGAAAGTTTATGATGATAGACTAAATAAGTAAGTATTCGTGATACTCTTTCACAGAAACTAGTGACTGAATTTCCAAACTTAACAGTTTTAATATTTCTACGTTTACATTAGATATTTATTTAGCTAATAAACTTTAGCAATCAAAGTTACGGGGACCCTGAATAAATTCACTTACTTTTGTCGTTCATCCTAATTAGGTAAGTATATTTACATTTACATTTATAAAGGAATGATTTTCTGGTTAAATTATACCTACATGAGATGTATAGGTACAGTCAGCGTCAAATAGTTCGCGACACTCAAATTAGACAAAAAGTTCTCAACACGTCTTTGTTACAATTTGATAAGGTTGTGTTGTCTTTTGGCCACTTTCAGTGACACGAACTACTTATTTAACGCAGACTGTACTTCGTTTTGTTGGTACCTATTCCTACAATCCACGCCAGCGTAAATGCATATATTTAATGCATCTTACTTTATTTTTAACGCGAGGATAACCAACACAAGCGAGTTCACCAAGTAAGGAAACTTGCCGGTTTAAACTCGCTACCGCCATAAAATTATCATCTCTGTGAACTTTGTAACTTAGATTGACTTCTTCGGGAAATTCTCGAAAGTTCGAAATTAATCTAAAGAATATCTTTTACCGCCATATACCTACCTGGCCTTTCAACCTTGAAATTAAGTCTGAAAAACGATAACATAGGAACGTTAATTAAACCGTTTATAAACTTAATAAAAAGTCTGACCATCTAAAACGATGAATATTTACAAGTCTAGTAATTGACTTTCGTAGTAAAAGTGGTCTAAATGAATTAATTTCATCATTAATAGATAGGGTTTTTCCTATGTTTCCACGTTTCGTAACAAAATCACATTCACAGTCTTCCATAAAATAACTAGTACGGCTGCTATCATCACATAATTAAATCTTATACATTGTCTCCTAGAGAAAACAAACAAAGAATTTAACCAACGAATAAACTTTTCATTACACAAGTAGTTTCAAGTTTATTTCACAGGTCCCTGAAACTTTGTAGAAGCCGTAAAACATCTTTGAATATTATGAAGTCTGATCTATAAATTTTCAGCGTTGAGATTGTATGGTACCTACTTACCTGTGATATAAATAAAACTAGAAACTGGATGATTTTACGAAGAATACTTACTTTATTGAGTCACATACGAGTAGATAAAATTAAATGTAAAACCTATTTGAATATTTTAGATTTATTTCTATAAATATAGAATCTGGTTCGTGTTTTACTTTAATGGATACCTGCATCAGTAAATAAATGATGAAAATATATTTTTGCTTTCGCAGAATTTGCGATCGTTATTTATCATTGAACTTTCACTGAAAGGTTTTTCTATAAATAACCTACAAGCTTGAATGCGTAACAGGCATTAAGTTTTAATCCTGCTGGGAGAAATACTCGTAAAGTTTCCAAAATCATATTGAACATGAGAGAAGAAACCGACTATCTGAAATCCACCTGAGACCAAATTATATTATTAGTAGGTACTTGTCGTACGCTACCAATCGATCAACATGGAAATCATTGAACGTCCTATAGCTGAAATGATGATGATGATTTGTTACACTCTGTGTACTCAATTATTTGTTATCCCTATACAAATAATTTTGATCCTACCACTGTTAAGAGACAATAACGTAGTCACTTCAATAGTTTCATTAGTTTGAATCCAGTTTTGACTGTCGTTGTAAAATAAAGGCTTGATTCTCTTAACCATTTCCCGTGTTTTCATGCACCCGGTCTCCCGTTCACTCTATCAGTTATTTCCATCGGCGATCTGGGTCAAACGCAATGGCTGGACACGATGCTTATCTACCGTGTAAATAATACTTCAATTAGTTTATGCTAACTAGAGGATTAACTCGATCTGAGTATGCGAGATTAATCTAATTACTTATAAACCTGATATAATTAGAAATTGTATCTTGGAGAGGAGAAAACGAGTTTCTACTCTATCTGTGGGCTGAGTGTGAGTTTACACCAAACGTCCTCAAGTAAGCGCGTTAAAAAAATGTATGAAAATTTTAGTTCTTGAACGTTTCCGCTAGGGGCGCTGTGCAATCCGTCATACATTTAATGACATTTTTTACGCGCTCACTAGTGAGCGCGTTTGATGAAAACTCACACTCAACCCTCTGATATATTAAGACATACAGTGGTGGGAATGAAGTCTCGTTTTGCTCTAAGTTGCATTAAAGTAATCGTAACAATCTTTAAACGACAAATGCAATTTTAGCTTGCTTCCTTGTAAGTTCAAAACAAATGTTTTTTGTAGAAGCCTGCAGGTCACTTATTTTTAAAGCCAAGTAGGTAGATGGCATAGAAAAAAATATTACTAAATTTATTTTATTTTTAATTATTGTACCTTTAATATGACGATTATGATTTTTATTAAATTCCCATCTCCGAATTGATTCGTAGGACCTAAATTCATTGGCATATTTGATATGCTAATGAAGGCATCGTTTGGCCCCTACCCAAGTTTCGATAGGGCTGTTTATTGTCCTATATNCCTGTCACTAGTAAGCGCGTTAAAAAAATGTATGAAAATTTTAGTTCTTGAACGTTTCCGCTAGGGGCGCTGTACAATCCTCAATCAAAGCTCACTAGTGAGCGCGTTTGATGAAGACTCACACTCAACCCTCTGATATATTAAGACATACAGTGGTGGGAAAGAAGTCGCGTTTTGCTCTAAGCTGCATTAAAGTAATCGTAACAATCTTTAAGCGATAAATACAATTTTAGCTTGCTTCCTTGTAAGTTCTTAACAAGTTTTTTTGTAGAAGCCTGCAGGTCACTTATTTTTGAAGCCAAGTAAGTAGGTAATGGCTTAAAAAAATACCAAATGTATTGTATTTTTAATGATTTTTCCTATGAAATATTACGATTATGAATAATTGATTCGTAGGACCTAAATTCATTGGCATATTTGATATGCTAATGAAGGCATCGTTTGGCCCCTACCCAAGTTTCGATAGGGCTGTTTATTGTCCTATATTATCTGCGAATGCCCGAAAAAGCACAGCGAGCGTTTCCGAACGACATTAGGAAGAATTCAAGCCTCGAGGGCAGATGTTGAAAAGCTGCCAAGAAGAAAATGCAGGATTTTCCTTCCATTTTGAATGTGATTTGGGAATGCATCGAGATTGCTTGTTCCATCAATCATTCAAGATGTAATAGAATTGTAAATCTTTAATTGTACCAATGTACAGTCAGCCATAAAAATATGTTCGTTGTGTGAGTAGTTACTAAATTGAGCATTTACAGTTTGAGCAAGCATAGCTCAAAAGCTCGCACATACATTAGGTACATGTCATTTTTTAATAAATCCTCATTATGGATTAACTTTGTATGGGTGCAACTCGAGAACAAGGTAAGTACCACGTTATTTATGCAGTGCCTACACATAGAACGTCTGAAAACTTGTACCAAGACTTTGTTTCCAGCGAGAGCCCCGATCTGAATGAAACAGAGTGTGCTGATTTCCCCAGCCGATAGCCGGATTTACGGAATCCACGATCATATCTCAATTCGACTCATTCGAATCGCGACCTGCATCTACGGAAGTACTTTGAGTGTGGGATCGGTGTTACGGTAAGTACAGTCGTGAAATTAAACTTCTGTAAAGTTTGGGCTGTAGCCACTTTGGTGTCAGGTTTCTGGAAAGTTACGTCTTATTGTTTGTAACACTTTTTTATTAATTAAATCATCATAGATTGCATCTACCCTCTTCAGATGAGACGAAGCGATCTAAGTTACCTACTAATAGATTGTGACTCAATACATTGTGCAACCAGAACTTTTTCGGTAGGTAGGTGTAATAAAAATACGAGAGAATTATTTTTGCAAAATTTATTTAATTTAACAAAGACATATCAACACTTCTCAACAATTCATTAAAATAATACCTTAGGGCATAAGAAATTAATTACAATTTAGCAACAATACAATCAGAAACAAAATATAAACAATACTTTAACCTAGTACTAAACATGAATGCCATAGTCCTTGCATATCTTGGCAACGTGGTGCGCCGCAACGGCGGCTCGCCGCGGCAACGCTGCAACGTCGTCGCCCGTTGCAGACCGCACGCTGAACGCTTGCAGTCTACACGTCCCTGCCATCATTCTGCCAATCACCCTGGTAAGAAGATAATTGTTCAGTATTTTTAATAGATATGTATGTTTAAAAGTAGATTAGTTAAGAAATCATAAAGAAAGAAGGTTAAATGGAGGAGAATGCCAAATGGCATTAAGTTTCCTATATACTGTGTTTCATGTGCATATAACTTAAAGAAAGGCGTAAATATAAACTTATGTTTAACTTTTGAGCAAATGTTGACGTCATAATCATAGCTAATTGATATTGAGCCACCCTTTCTTGCGTTTCATTTAAAATAACAGAAGTGTAATGTATTTTCTGGGTTAACTGCATGGACCTATAAAAAAAGGCGGACGGAACTCGCGCTACAACAAAACTGTGACGCAAAATTTTGGCGTTTGTCTATTGTGTGAGTGAATTTAGGGATGCCATGTTAGCCAAAACATTTTACCCATTTATCTTAAGAAAAACATAGATGGGCAGATATGTTACTTGGAAATGTAGACGGAATTATATCGTGCCATTTGAAAAGGATGAAAGATGAATGCGTTGAGGTAGACGCGAAATTTTCAAATTTTCTTATTTTGTTTGCTAGTCAGTGTCAGGTTATATGTTGATCAAAATATGATTCACGCAGTTACAAATTATCAATCTTGTGTACCTACGTAATCATAATCTTATGTATCATCAATATTATTATCTCTGATAGATTTTAACATACAACCTGACACTGACTTGCAAAAATATAAGAAAATTTAAATTTCGCAGTTCCACGCCCTTGGGAAGGATTAAATCTGCCTACGAAAATATATCCCATTAAAACACAGTTATTATAATAAATTATTTTATTCCTATAGTATGCGTAATAAACACCTAAAAAGTCTTAAAATTATAGATTTCCCACTTTTCGGGTAATTTTCCCACGTAAATATCTGAGAACACTGGCCTTTGACGTATTATTTTGTCGGGTGATTGACGTTTGATTTTAGTATTTTAATGTTTATAAAATCGGGGAAATAAGTGATTAGATTATTAGTTTACCTGTGAAATGTGATTCCTTGATTTTTGTTCGTTCGATCAGAACGGTTTTTACACAATTTCACCACGCAAGACATGTCGTATTTGTGTTTTTTTTTCGCCGCGTAAATGTGTCAACTGTGTGAAGTTTGCACTCGAAGTGGTGTATCAGGGTATGAATGTGTGCGTACCGGCCTGTACGTACAGGCGAGCTGGTATATCTTAATGTCACAGTATTTTGTTGATGAGAATCCGTCCGACTTTTTTTATAGGTCCATGGTTAACTGTACACAAACTGTCATTTTTGGTTTACATTTTTTTTTACTCTTAAGCGACAGAATATGCAGTAAACTTTGAAATTACTAACGTTACAGTAAACTTTTAAATTAATACGGTTATTTTTTCATAATATTAATATTACACAGCGTTTCTACAAGAGACTAGCACGTTTGCGCCATCGCTCTTCATTATCAGCGTATCGGATCAAGAACACTAAATATTTATACAGTTTGAACGTGAGCGGCAATTTATATTTATTGCATACTTCGCGGAATGATGCGAGCTTTTGAGGTGAGGTGACAAGAGCATTATGTACATAAAACGAAATTCTGTGTGGTTAGGAAAATTATAAAATTATGCGCTTGACTGCTGCGGTATCATCATCATCATCATTTCAGCCATAGGACGTCCACTGCTGAACATAGGCCTCCCCCAATGCTTTCTACGTTGATCGATTGGTAGCGGCCTGCGTCCAGCGCTTCCCTGCTACCTTTACGATGTCGTCGTATGAATGCGGTATGAATAGGGTTAATTCTTAAGGGTTTTACGCAATATGCGCACTTTTCTATACCTACTAACTAATATTATAGAAACAAAAACTTCAACTTTTTAACATTTGTAAAGTACACATTTTGCGAAGTGCACATTCTGCCTAAGTAAAGGTTTCATTCGATTACTACCCGCTGTCTTCTCTCTCACACACTTGCAGACAATGTAACATTCGTGTCAATTTTGTCGTATGTATATTTTGTACGTAATTCAGGGAACTTAAGTGATCCTAAAATTGAATCAGTCACATCACAAGCGTCTTAAGACTTTTCTGATCTCACTATATTTATCACTTAGCTAGTAGAGACGGCATTTAACAACCTAAATAATGTAGCATCTTATGCAGCCGACTGTAGGTACATCAAATAACTAATAACAAACAAGCGTCTTACCTAACTGTACACGGAGGCTTCAACTCAGGCAGTAGGAAGTCTATCTCGTAGTAGACGACTTGCATGGCCGGGCCGCTGTCGTCTCTCACGACAAGGGTCTTAGCGCAAGACTCGCCGGCTCTTACGCTGACGCATTTGGCTAGAAAAATAAAATAAAATGGTACTTACCCATTCTAGTTTTATGTGCTTTGTAAATACGACTCTATTGGTTACACAATTCAATTGATTTTAGTCTAGCGCTTAAAATGCTCAATTCAGTCAGTTCCTGAGGTAAGGGAGCGGCACGGTAGGAACAATAAGCCTAACAGGGACTATTCTCACCTCTCGTTCCCACCACTGCAACTCCTGTGTAGCCAGGATCTACAGCTTGACCGCCATAAAAACCCAACCAATGAAGGTCAAGTTTGTCCCGGGGGAAAGTTAAACTGTCATTGGATCCGCAACGAAACGAAATTAAGGTTTGATTTCCCTCCATTGCAAAGCGGATGACAGGTGACAAACAAAGGCTTAAACCTACAATACAATAAGCCTAGGCGCAGACCATCGATTTTTCGTCGGCCGATAGTTTAGTCGGGCAGGTGATCAGTATGGGCATGTATGGAAGTGCGCACATTACATCGATTCGATTTGGCCGATTCTTCATACAATTTAAAATCGGGCAGTACTATCGGCCAACTAAAAATCGGTGGTCTGCGCCTAGTCTTAATCTGAAATCTCGCTGACATTTGACGTAACCAAAAACTTCCCTTGCCGCTTCTCTCATACCTCAGGCACTGACTGAGTTTAATGCACTAGACCTTATAACTAAATAAGTAATTTTAGAACAAATTTAACACTAAGGCCCAGAACAGACGGTGAAACGCAACTGCAACGAAACTGCAACTTTCTGATGATTCTGATAAATGAAACTGGAACTGAGAGTTTCAAACTGGTCGCGTCGTGTGTGGTCTCTCAACGGACGCTATGGCAGAAACTTAGATGCAACTCAAAAGTAACTAGCAGTTGCAGTTTCGTTCAGTTTGTGTTCTGGGCCAACTCGATTTTCAAGGCTAGAATGAAGTGTTTTGATAGAATTTATGACTTGGTACAAAATTTTTATTAATAGTGTCAACTACCCAATACTTCAAATCAATAAGTACTGTGTTTCAGCTTATTCAAATCCAAATTTTAATAACAGTGGCAGCAGTGGGTTAACCATCAAAATCAGAGCACTGTAAACAGCATCGAATCGCTTAATAACGAGTTAGCTACGAGCATTTGTGGACAAATTCCTGGCACAACCGCACACTTTATTGTGAATTGCAACTGTTTAAATCCTGATTTTGTAGAAATAGTGTCTAATATTTCAAATGGTTTATTCGCGTCGCGGGCGGCCGCTTATAGTATTGTATTTATACCATACTTTCCGCCCGCGGCTTCGCCCGCGTGGAATTTTGTCTTTCACAGAAAAACTTTATCACGCGCGTTCCTGTTTAAAAAACCGGGATAAAAACTATCAAAATCAAAATTATTTATTCAGTTTAGACCACAAGTGGCACTTATGAACGTCAAATATAGCAAACAATAATAAGAAAAGGTAGCCTATGTCCTTTCCCAGGACTATCTGTATGCCAAATTTCATCAAAATCGGTTCAGTGGTTTTGGCGTGAAAGAGAGACAGACAGTCAGACAGGCAGACAGACAAAGTTACTTTCGCATTTATAATATTAGTACCTATAGATTTGATAAATAAATAAATAATATTACGCAACCACCTAGAAAAGTGTTTACGTACTTTCATTTTAAACGATGCCTTCGTTCCTGACTCTCTGATATGACGATATGTGAGCTGTGACACTAAATTTCACGCGGGTGAAGCCGCGGGCAAAAGCTAGTATACTATACGAAGCTTTGGTTTACTATCACTATTCGGGGATAGATAACTAAGTTAAAAAGCCTTTGACAGCCGTGTAGATAGAGGTTGATGAGATTTCCAAAATAGGAAAACCTTCATAAAAGTTTCGAATCGGATTTCCTGGTAGCGATTTAACATGCGTGATACAATTTGACTCACATACCTATTATTGCCGCAATTTGTTTATTGTGGTGCTAATAATTTGTTAGCTGTTCAATTTGATTATAATGTAACAGCTGTTGTTGTTGTTAAAGAAAAAGAAGAATAAAATAATTAGATTAGTTCATTCCTAGAGCTCTTATGTTTTAAATGTGTTTGTTTCTTTATTAATATCTATATAAATAAAAATGAATTGATGTTCGTTAGTCTGATTAAAACTCGAGAACGGCTGGGCCGATTGAGCTGATTTTGGTGTCAAAATGTTTGTCGTATTCCAAGGTAGGTCTAAACGGTGAGCAAATAAGGAAAGATTTGCTTATTAACTAATAAATAAATAAATAAAATAAGTATCTAAGTACTTACCAACGATCTCATAAATGACCAGGAGGCCTATTTCTTGCAACGCCTTATGCCATTTGAGCACCTTCTCAACTGGGCCCGAAAACGCTCTCGGTCCAGATTTGTATAAAGCCTGAAAAATGTCCGAGAATGTATCTTTGTACAGTCGCCAGCATTTTACGTTTTTATTGCAAAATGGTTCCTATCACAACTGCATAAGACACAAAGCTCACTTCGTACTAAAATGTAAAGCTTCGGCCAAACCAACGCGTGCAGCTCGCGTCGGCGATGGCGATCACTTCGCGTACATAGATCGCCGCGTCCAATGACAGACAGGACGCGTCGATGTGAACTCATCGCTACAAACCAGGGATGTTATGAATATCCGAAGTAAAAAAATATCCGTAAACGTAACCGATTCAAAATTTTCGGATAGTTTCGGATGTAGGCAGTTTAAATTATTTTTGTATAGCATTATATGTAAAGGCATAACAGCCTGATTTACCTTTATAATGCAATGTAGTAACAATTATTATTTTTTTATTACTTTTTATTCGATGTAAAGTGTGCGGCCATGAATAAACCGTGTTGGACAACTATTGCAAATTACATTCTAAAGCACAGATATCCGTAACCGTAACTAAAACTTTCGGATATCCGAAATTTAAAAAATATCCGTAACGGTAACCGAAACCGGCATTCCTATATCCGTAATCGTATTCATAACCGAAACTACATATCCATAACATCCCTACTACAAACTCATACACGACGTCTGCACGCGTTGGTTTGGCTGAACCTTTAAGAGTAAACTAGTACCATTGACAATGGGTTGCACATCTCACCCATGGAGATTTTTATCGTATTCCCCGCGAAAAAAGGGTTTTCAGTGTGACCTTATTATCTAACCTTATAGGTGAAAAAAACTTCTGCCCGAGGAAAGTTAAATTGTTCCGGGAACCGCGGCGAAATGATTATTTTATCAGGTAATTTTTTCCTTTACCCTAACCATAGTTTTGTTCAATTTAAGTCGTCGCGGGTTCCAAAACTGTTAGCTATCCCACGGGTCTACTGGAACTTTAGTTGGGTTTCATGGACGGGTAAACTAGATCTTGACTATACAGGAATTACAAGGACGGAAATGAGAGGTGGTATAAAGTAAAGATCACTAAATCCAGCTAATGTAATAACTGCTATTTTTTTTATTTATTTAATAGGACAACCAACAAGACATACCTACACTAGAAGATAATAGTCTGAGCCGCTCTATATTTTGGGCCCTGTGACCTACATTAGGGCTTTTAAAGGCGTATGTACATTTGGGATGAGGCCTGTGACCTACAGTAGGACTTTTAAAGGCTTATGTTTTTGCATGTCACAAAAATATTGTCATTTTTGAGGCAAAAATTCCGAACGAAATATATTTAACGCAAACCCCATAAACAAAGAGTGAAAAATAAAAATAAAACTGCAGAGGATATTGCGTCGCTCGGCGCATAGTCTCGTCCTGTCCAGTTTATTACTTCGGAAACAGTTTCAGCTGTGACAAAAATATTGCTCGACAGATTTTGTGAGATATAGGAAGTTAATAAATGAGCATTGTCTATTTATTAAAAGTCTTTCATTCCGCTTTTAATTAAACGAAAAGTTCATAAAAAAACTTTCAATTTAAAGAGCTGTCATTTTAAAATGACATTTTAAATCTTTTTAGATAATATGTCACGGACCAACCAGGGACTGAAAAACGTAATGGCATGCCACACAGAGGACCGACGATCTGGTGAAGGTCGCACCTGACTGAATGCGAGCAGCTCATGACTAGTCATTGTAAGAGACCTTTGTCCATTAATAGGAGAATCCTAATATCCTAAACATTATTATAATTGCCTAACACACAGCTTTTCTCATACGTAATTCGAAAATAAACATTTAAAGCAATCACTTTCTGCCAACGAATTATTCATGTGAAAAATCGTTTTACAATACAGTTTTCAAAAACTATAACCAAGCAGAGCCGATATTTCTGATAAAAAGCACAAGAATCAACCAGAAGTTGCCTGAAAACTGCTAAGTTGAAAAAACGCCGCCGCAAAACAAAGCGACGGATATTGCATCGATTGAGGCGGTACAATCAGCTGCATAAAACTTTACAATTATTCAACTTTCATAATAAATAAGAGGTGACTGAATTGTAATTGAAATAATGTGGCCATCTTGTCTAAACGTCTCACTCTCTCTCTGACTCATATTAGCTACATACGAGTACAACTTTAAAACCATGTTGACACCATAAAATATTTGGCATAGTTTTTAAGTTCTTTAACGATCATTTTTACTCTATAAAAGCCTTAAATAATATTATACGAGTATATTAAAATTATTATTATTTTTTAATTTTACCAATTTTAGACACGCTAAAAAAATGAGACACGCTTTAAGTTAAAAATACACTAAAACTAACAGTTAAGCAGTGATTTCTGCAGCTGACTGTACCCCACAGTCCAGTTTATTAACTTTAACGAAATCTCGGCTATTACCAGCGATGACAAAGGAGAGGAGTGTGGCTATTAAGTTTATTACTAGCAATTCCTTTAAGTTTCATTTTATGAGAGGGTTCGCTCGTGTCACCTCCGAGTGACGAGTGACGGTCGCTAAGAAACGGTACGTGGATTTGATGAGGCTCATACATTTTATCGTCATGGGAAAGTGCTGGTAGAATGATATACTTACTATCATCCGCGAAATTAATTTTGTAGATAAAAGTAAGATAGTATAAAGTGACTTACCTATTAAACAGCGCCTACGCATTGTATTTTGTTAGCAAACAAAATGCATTGAATTTTACAGCACTCAAAATAAGAGACTGTGTAGGTAGAGAATACTACTAAGTACACTTGAAAATTTCGACGGGTTCATCCAGTGTCTAAGTAGCTCAGTTGGAAGAGCAGTCACCCGGCAAGCGGAAGGTCGTGGGTTCATTTCCCGCCTTAGGCAGTTCGATTTTTTCAAGTTATTTATAATTTTCAAAGTACAAGAAAATTGTATTGCCTACTAACCACTCATCTTGCACTAACTAAACTACTAATTTCATAGGTACAGTCAGCGTCAAATAGTTCGTGACACCCAAAGTAGCCAATAAGTTCGCAACACGTCTTTGTTACAATTGAAATAAGGTTGTGACGTCAAATTTTTGGCTACTTTGGGTGTCACGAAATATTTGACGCTGACTGTACCTAGGTACTAACGCCGCTTTTTAGATGCAAAGGAAACTTCGCTCGGGTGTCATAGTTACATTAAATATTATAATTATGTACTGTGGGTTTAGGTACCCAAGTTGTTTGCAAAAACTCAAATAAACTCATCTTCATACTCAATTTTGTTATGAGCACCTACATTATAATGAGCTCCTTTCGTATGTAGCTATTACAGAAAAATATACATTTCATATTTATTTATATTTCAAAGATTTTTTACGAGTTACTTACCTACTTACGTTCTTGTTTGATAAGATGAACTTTCCGATATTATTTTTATTTATGATTCGAAAAAATATACCTGGAGTTTCTCTGAGCGCGTCAATATCTTATTTGAAGATTCTTCCTTTGCAATACTTTCATTAACGGTTTTATTTGCCACTGAAAAAAACAAGTTAATAAGCTCCTGGTTTGTATTAAGTTCCTTCTAGGTAGTAGGTTTGAGCGATTTATTATTTAGTTATTTGTTCCCTCTTCTATGTATAGGTCGCGCAGAAAGAGTTGAGGCAATCAACACTAGCAAAGATTTGTATCTGTATGCTTTTCGCTGCTTATGCTGACGTCTTGCCTATTCTGACTAATTTGTGTATTCTGAATTCAAATATTACATTAATGTGTGTATAATTATGTTGGTCTCAACTTTCGTTGCGCGACCTATAACGAGAAATGGACAAGACTTATTTTTTTAAAGAAAATATTCACCCTTGAATTAATATTTTCTTTACAAAAACAAAAGATAGACAATTACCTAGGTCAAAGAATTTATTGCCTAGCCATTCAGCGCATGGATGCAGGCCGCCACCAACCGACCATTGTGGAAATCATTGGGGGAGGCCTAAAGCTCAGCAGTGGACGTCCTATGGCTAAAATGATGATGATGATTCAGCGCGGTAATGTGACTTGCCTTCTAGACATCTTTTCAAAAGGCAAAGACTTAAATGCTTTTTTATTTCTAAGGGTTTATTTTAAATGTTATTGTAATTTTTATTTAGGTTTAGAGTAGGCGCACACCGTTGATTTTTAGTTGGCCGATAGTTGTGCCCGATTTTAAATTGTATGAAGAATCGGCCAAATCGAATCGGCGTAGTGTGCGCACTCCCATACATGCCCATACTGATCAACTGCCCGACTAAACTATCGGCCGACGAAAAATCAACGGTGTGCGCCTACTCTTAGTTACTTAGTTATTTAGCTTAAATACACAATTTGAATTTAATATACCAACTTTGTATACCAACATGGAGCAATAAAGAATTTTAATTTGAAAGCCTGTTAACCGCTATTTTAAAAACTAAACAGATTGAAATGAAATCGAGATATCAACTTCTTGAAATAAGGTGTATAACCCAACGGACGGGTACGCAAAGTTTGTCTTTACAAGTTAGTTCCTCCAAAATACAGAGTAATGATCTTGTTAGCCGAGTTTAGGGGTTAGCTGTGCGCGGCTAAAATACTTTCGCGTTTGACAGCACGGAAATTTATTTGAATTTATGTGCCAATTTGTTTAGAAGTTGTTGGGTAGCTGGAGGTATTTAAAGCTGAGGATTACCTTGTTAAATACCTACTTTTCTTTAGCAAAGAAAGAAAGAAAATCGTTTATTATTTAATTCAAAGAGGAATAGCTATCATCTAATCTGAAAACAATCAAAAGATCCCCCTGGGTTGCACCATCTTAAATAACTATAAGAAACGTTAAATGTTTTTTATTCATTGGTATTTTATCAATGTAGCTAACTATAACTACTATAAGTTATAGGCAGTTACGGTTAAAGTGATGCAATGCAACTCAGCCAGGTTCTTATGTTTATTTTATCTAGGCACAAACGCCAGCACGTCCGGCTTGGAGCTAAACATTATGGCATCTTATGTGGTTGTACTAAGTGCTATTTGTAACAAAACTAAAAAGTCCGAAGTGCTGTTGACTGTAAAAGCAACTAAAATACTGTATCGATGTTGCGCTCAAGGTTTTTTAAGTATTTTTCATAAATCAAAGGAAATGAGTCATAAAATAGTAGTATTATTGGGTACCTGGTGTAAGGGGTTGTCGTGGTTTAAACGCAGACTGCTCCTTAATCGAGTTGGTACGAGAAACAGAGCTGTTATTGATATTCACCACTTTCGATGTCTCTTGCGTTTTTTCTGCAACTAAATAAATCTCTTTTTAACCCTAAACGGCCAAAGCTAGTCCTTATTTTATTTTTATTTTTAATTTAAGACAAGGGTAAGCCTTGCAGGCATCAAGGCTCAAGGGTTAACGAATCGAATCGGCCAGTCCTACACCGAAACATTCGACTATGCTTTCGATTACATTTTTCGTGCAGTTTATGTTATCCCATCAAGAGTACTTACGCTCAAGTAATGTAAGATAATAATTATGCTACACACAAAAATAACCTTACTTAAATATCATTTTTTTACCATTTCTGTTAAAAAGTAATTATTCAAAAACACCTAATCCTAAGTAATGCACCGAGATGTAACAGCGGCTCGTCATTTGAAAGCAGTGCGGCACTCCACTGGCCTACATTCTGGCTGCTCGCCAAAATACCTTTATAATACAAAGCGACGTTTTTGTACTGGTTCTTACTTTTTAGTAAACGCGTTGTTACATTAGATAGACCTACTTACATTATTATTACGACCAAGATACAATACTGATTGATATCCTAACCTCGATAATGATTTTGGTTCGGAAGCTGAAGAGTTATGGGTACCTATTCAATTAAAACAAATAATGTAGGTGTCACACACAGAAAAAAATATGCATTTTAAAAGTGTACTTATAAAAGGAACACTTAGCTAAATAGTAAAAAATGAAAACCCGGGCAGATCTCGTATCTTACTAACTTTACCTCTAAGAACTTACTAAATAGTTGCTTGCGCTACAAAGATCTGCTTGCTACGGTCAGGCGCTACGAAGCTACGAGTTTTACCTTTATGAATTTGCGGCATACTTGCTTGCGCTAACCTTTTTGAACTTTGAGCACACTAACAATATAAGTTGCTTGTTTGCGCTACAAACATCTGCTTGATACGGTCGGGCGCTACGCAGCTACGAATTTTACCTTTATGAGCTTGCGGTACAGTAGCTTGTGTTACAAACATCTCCTGCTTGCTACGGTCGGGCGCTACGAAGCTACGAATTTTACCTTTATGAACTTGAGACGGCACAGTTGCTTGCGCTACAAAGATCTACTCGCTACGGTTGGGCGCTACGAAGCTACGAATTTTACCTTAAAGAACTTGCGGCACAGTTGCTTGCGCTAACCGTTTTGAACTTTGAGCACACAAACAATATAAGTTGCTTGTTTGCGCTACAAACATCTGCTTTCTACGGTCGCACTATGGAGCGAAATCGCGATTTATGGACATAGCGATTTTTTTCACAATTTCTATTTGAAAAAAATACCTATCGATAGGTTACGTTATTCTGATGAATNTTTTCTTCCAACATCATACACTAGAATACGCGTGCGTGAGTCAATGTTCGCTCGTATATGAGGCCTTGTCGAATAGTATCCTGTAGGTGGGCCATCGTGCGAGTTTTGTTTTGATGTAAACTCGCGGAGATGAACAGGCCTGGTACTACTAAGTACAAGAAAATTGTATTACCTACTAACCACATTATCTTGCAGTTCAAAGTACTAATTTCAGGCACTTACAGTCAGCGTCAAATAGTTCGTGACACCCAAAGTAGCCAATAAGTTCGCAACACGCCTTTGTTACAACTGAAATAAGGTTGTGTCGTAAAATTTTTGGCTACTTTGGGTGTCATGAAATATTTGATGCTGACTGTACCTAGGTACTAACGCCACTTTTTAGATGCAAAGGAAGCTTCGCTCGGGTGTCATAATTACATTACATATTATTATTATGTTCTATGGGTGTAGGTACCCAAGTTGTTTTCCAAAAACCCAAATAAACTCATCTTCACTCTCAATTTTGTTATAAGCACCTACATTATAATGAGCTCATTTCGTATGTAGGTAGCTATTACAGAAAAATATACATTTCATATTTATATTTCAAAGATTTTTATCTTTTATTTCTAAGATTTTTTACGAGTTACTTACCTACTTACGTTCTTGTTTGATAAGGTGAAGTTTCCGATATTATTTTTATTTATGATTAACGAAAAAATATACCTGGAGTTTCTCTGAGCGCGTCAATATCTTATTTGAAGATTCTTCCTTTGCAATACTTTCATTAACGGTTTTATTTGCCACTGAAAAAAACAAAGTTAATAAGCTCCTGGTTTGTATTAACTTCCTTCTAGGTACAGGCACAGATAATCTATATACATATAATAAATCTGTAGAGAGGTCAATTCTGTACATGAAATATATTTTCAAAATAACTATCAGGGGGTGATTAGTGATCGATACTGATGCCAAAAATGCAATCAGTACAATTTTTGTCTGTCTGTCTGTCTGTCTGTATGTTCCTTATAGAAACAAAAACTACTAGACGGATTTTAACGAAACTTGGTACAATTATTCTTCATACTCCTGGGCAGGTTATAGGATACTTAGGAATTCCCACGGGAACGGGCATTAGCGGGAAAATCCTTTTGTATGAAAAATCTAAACCGCTTAAGTTAGACGCTTGAAATATGGCAAGCAGGTACCTTAGTAAACTTAAAGCTTAGTTATAACAGGATATTGCAAAATTCCTACGGGAACGGGAATTAGCGAAAAAAACATTTGTATGAAAAAATCTAAGCCACGTAAGATAGACGCTTGAAATTTGGCATGCAGGTACCTTAGTAAATTTAAAGCTTAGTTACAACAGGATATTGCAAAATTCTCACGAGAACGGGAGTTAGCGGGAAAAAACATTTGTATGAAAAAATCTAAACCGCGTAAGTTAGACGCTTTAAATTTGGCATGCAGGTACCTTAGTAAATTTAAAGCTTAGTTACAACAGGATATTGCAAAATTCCCACGGGAACTGGAATTAGCGGGAAATTCCTTTTGTATGACTGACTCACTGACATACCCACGCACAGCCTAAACGGCTAAACGTAGGCACTTGAAAATTATAAGGGATGTAGCTTAGGTACCGTAGAGGTGCACTAAGAAAGGAATTCCCGAAATTCCAACAAGTACAGGAATTACCGGGAAAATCCTTTTGTATGAAAAATCTAAACCGCTTAAGTTAGACGCTTGAAATTTGGCATGCAGGTCCCTTAGTAAACTTAAAGCTTAGTTACAACAGGATATTGCGAAATTCCAACGGGAACGGGATTTAGCGGGAAAAACATTTGTATGAAAAAATCTAAACCGCGTAAGATAGATGAAGGGGGTAAAACGGGATCCACGCGTACGAAGTCGCGGGCGGCCGCTAGTACATAATAAGTTACAGGTTTGAGCGATTTTTAATTTATTTATTTGTTCCCTCTTCTATGTAATAGGTCGCGCAGAAAGAGTTGAGGCAATCAACACTAGCAAAGATTTGTATCTGTATGCTTTTCGTGATGACGTCTTGCCTATTCTGACTGATTTGTGTGTTCTGAATTCAAATATTACCTACATCAGTGTGAGTATGTGTTCGGCTCAACTTTCGTTGCGCAACCTATAACGAGAAATAGGCAAGACTTTTTTTTAAAGAAAATATTCACCCTTGCATGAACATTTTCTTTAGAAAAACAATTACCTACCTAAAAAAAGATAGACAATTACCTAGGTCAAAGAATTTATTACCTAGCCATTCAGCGCATGGATGTAGGCCGCCACCAACCGACCATTGTGGAAATCATTGGGGGAGGCCTATGTTCAGCAGTGGAAGTCCTATGGCTGAAATGATGATGATGATGATGATGATGATTCAGCGCAGTAATGTGCCTTGCCTTCTAGACACCTTCACAAAAGACAGCGGCTTAAATGTTTTTTAGGGTTCCGTAGCCAAATGGCAAAAAACGGAACCCTTATAGATTCGTCACGTCTGTCTGTCCGTCCGTCTGTCCGTCCGTATGTCACAGCCATTTTTTTCCGAAACTATAAGAGCTATACTGTTGAAACTTGGTAGGTAGATGAATTCTGAGAGCCGCATTATGATTTTGATGCAAAAATAAAAAATAAATATTGGGGGCTCCCCATACTTAGAACTGAAACTCAAAAATTTTTTTTTCATCAAACACATACGTGTGGGGTATCTATGGATAGGTCTTCAAAAATGATTTCGAGGTTTCTAAAATATTTTTTTTCTAAACCGAATAGCTAAAGTGGAAAAAAGTTGGTTAGTTTAGATAGTTAATTTGAATTTAAAGAAAATGAAATCGAGATATCAACTTCTTGAAATAAGGTGTATAACCCAACGGACGGGTACGCAAAGTTTGTCTTTACAAGTTAGTTCCTCCAAAATACAGAGTAATGATCTTGTTAGCCGAGTTTAGGGGTTAGCTGTGCGCGGCTAAAATACTTTCGCGTTTGACAGCACGGAAATTTATTTGAATTTATGTGCCAATTTGTTTATAGAAGTTGTTGGGTAGCTGGAGGTATTTAAAGCTGAGGATTACCTTGTTAAAACCTACTTTTCACAGCAAAGAAAGAAAGATTCGTTTATTATTTCATTCAAAGAGGAATAGCCATCTGAAAAAAATCAAAAATCCCTCTGGGTTGCACCATCCTACTAATATTATAAATGCGAATGTTTGTGTGGATGTTTGTTACTCTTTCACGCAAAAACCACTGAACAGATTTTGATGAAACTTTACGGTATTATTGTTTATAACCCAGAATAACATATAGGCTATATTTATGTGATCTGTGACAAAATAAATTTCACGCGGGTGAAGCCGCGGGGAAAAGCTAGTCTTAAATAACTATAAGAAACGTTAATTTTTTTTATTTATTCATTGGTATTTTATTAATGTAGCTAACTATATGTTATAGGCAGTTACGGTTAAAGTGATGCAATGCAACTCACCCAGGTTCTTATGTTTATTTTATCTAGGCACAAACGCCAGCACGTCAGGCTTGGAGCTAAACATTATGGCATCTTATGTGGTTGTACTAAGTGCTATTTGTAACAAAACTAAAAAGTCCGACGTGCTGTCGACTGTAAAAGCAACTAAAATACTGTATCGATGTTGCGCTCAAGATTTTTTAAAAGTATTTTTCATAAATCAAAGGAAATTAGTCATAAAATAGTAGTATTATTGAGTACCTGGTGTAAGGGATTGTCGTGGTGTAAACGCAGACTGCTCCTTAATCGAGTTGGTACGAGAAACAGGGCTGTTATTGATATTCATCACTTTCGATGTCTCTTGAGTTTTTTCTGCAACTAAATAAATCTCTTTTTAACCCTAAACGGCCAAAGCCAGTCCTTATTTTATTTATTTTTGAACTCAAGACAAGGGTAAAGCCTTGCAGGCTCAAGGGTTAACGAATCGAATCGGCCAGTCCTATACCGAAACATTCGACTATGCTTTCGATTATATTTTATCGTGCAGTTTATGTTATCCCATCAACAGTACCTACTTACGCTCAAGTAATCAATATAAATAAAAATGAATTAATGTTCGTTAGTCTGATTAAAACTCGAGAACGGCTGGGCCGATTGAGCTGATTTTGGTTTTAAAATGTTTGTCGTAGTCCAGGGTAGGTCTAAACGGTGAACAAATACGCACGCGATATTTTTTTTTGTGACAGACAAAATTCTACGCGGGCGAAGCCGCGGGCGGAAAGCTAGTGTAAGATAATATGCTACACACAAAAATAACCTTACTAAAATACCATGTTTTTACCATTTTTGTTAAAAAGTAATTATTCAAAACACCTAATCCTAAGTAATGCACCGAGATGTAACAGCGGCTCGTCATTTAAAAGCAGTGCGGCACTCCACTGGCCTACATTCTGGCTGCTCGCCAAAATACCTTTATAATACAAAGCGACGTTTTTGTACTGGTTCTTACTTTTTTGTAAACGCGTTGTTACATTAGATAGACCTACTTACCTACATTATGATTACGATCAAGATACAATACTGATTGATATCCTAAGCTTGATAATGATTTTGGTTCGGAAGCTGAAGAGTTATGGGTATCTACCTATTCAATTAAAACAAATAATGTAGGTGTCACACACTGAAAAATGCATAAAAGTACTTATAAAAGGAACACTTAGCTAAATAGTAAAAATAAAACCCGGGCAGATCTCGTATCTTACTAATTTTAACTCTAAGGCTGGTTTTAGTGTCACGCGGACCGTCCGGTGCGGACCCGCTCTGCATGGCCAATCTGTATGAACTTCTAGGGAGCGTTTTAGAGTTATGCGGTCCAGAGGAACCGCTCCGCTCCCTAGAAGTTCATACAGATTGGCCATGCAGAGCGGGTCCGCACCGGACGGTCCGCGTGACACTAAAACCAGCCGAAGAACTTACTACATAGTTGCTTGCGCTACAAAGATCTGCTTGCTACGGTCAGGCGCTACGAAGCTACAAATTTTACCTTTATGAACTTGCGGCACAGTTGCTTGTGTTACAAACATCTGCTTGCTACGGTTGGGCGCTACAAAGCTACGAGTTTTACCTTTATGAACTTGCGGCACAGTTGCTTGCGCTACAAACATCTGCTTGCTACGGTTGGGCGCTACAAAGCTACGAGTTTTACCTTTATGAACTTGCGGCACAGTCGCTTGCGCTACAAACATCTGCTTGCTACGGTCAGGCGCTACGAAGCTACGATTTTACCTTTATGAACTTACGGCACAGTCGCTTGCGCTACAAACATCTTTTACTTGCTAGGGTTAGGCGCCATGAAGCTACGAATTTTACCTTTATGAATTTGCGGCACAGTTGCCTGCGCTTGCGCTACAAACATCTTTTGCTTGCTACGATCCGGTGCTACGAAGCTACGATTCTCGTAGTCACCACCGAAGTTAGGAATCGTGGGCTGTCTTTCGGTCTGCGCTTGTTGACCTAATAATAATAAATTATAATAAATGATAAATTATAATAAATTCAACCCTAGGTATAATAATAATATTTGAACATCAAGCTGAACAATGTGGCATTATGCAATTTTATTGTAACAAAAACTTACAAGTTGTCCTAAAACTAGCAATATCCACTAAACAATGAAACTTTATTATCTAACACAGACCTTTTTGGGGCACCCTGTATACAGCGAATTTTATTAGTTTGGACGTTATAGTCTATTTAGATCATATCTGAAGATATTTTTTTATCCAAACTTTAAATATTGTATTCCAAATAAAGAAACCAAGAAAAAATGTCCTCAAAATTGTAAAAAAATAAAAGTAAGTTAAAAAAATAATAAAATTTTGTACCTATACAAACTTGAGCAAGTAACTTAAATTGTATTTTTTTTTTGCTGTGTTCATTTGCAATCAGTCCCAGGACTATGAGCAAATCTGTTCTGTGATGCTTTCATGCGGAGTGGCTTCCCATTGGAAGCATCAACTCATCTGCTGCTGGCGGTCCTCTAGCTCCAGGATATGATGATGTTTCAGTCGTCTCACATACTGGTCCATGGTGAGTTGGCGAGCAACTTCGTTAGGATGATGGATTAACCGCTCTTTGTACTTAGCTGCCAGACTCCGAACTTAAATTGTATAACAAATTACCTGTGGCAATAAATGTAGCCGCGTTGCCATCTGAATAACCAGCCAAATACCGCGGATCGATGCCAGACATCATCTGAGCTTGGACGGGGTGAAGCTGTAACAAAATAATTATAAATGTTAGGAATTAATTTCACGATTATATTATTTATGGCAGAAAGAAAGAAATGGTAGATTTAATATCATTCTTCATTTCTCTAGCTACTGAATTTTTTGTTAAATTAATATCAGACACCTCACTCTTTGAGTAGACTCATACACATTTACATTCAACCATTTAAATTTAAAGTTCATAATAAAATAAACCTACATGTGTGGGTTGAAGCTGAAAATTATTAGAGCCCATTTGTTGGTGGACAGCAAAGTAACCCGGAGATGGCATGTGTTGAATCGGATATTCGCGTCCGTAGCCGCCAAGATACATGCTTTCTTGAGGACTGAAATCAATTTTTCTTTGTAAATCTTTAACTTCAATGATTGTTACTCCTTACTTTCTTCAAGTCACTTAATACTTACATCATAGTGTTGTTGTTCCTTGGCAGGCTATTAGATTCAAAGCCGATCACTTGATTTGCCTGTGGAAAGTCTAAAGCACTTTGTAATCACTATGTTCACCAACTTCTTTATGCACAAAATTAATTTCTGAAATAAAAACCTGCACCAATTCTTGGTTCGCGAACAACAAATCTATCCATATTAATTTGATAACAGTAGGTATGTTTCTGCAAATTATAGCATTCAATTAGATAGGATTAAAAAGTTTTTTACGAAAATAATTTGGATAGAGCAAACAGCAAAATTAGATTGCCGCCAAAACAAATGTCAATGTCAAAATTTGTTAGGATGTTTTTTGGTCTGAATAAGAAAAGATACACAAAATTATAATTCTTTTCACATTTAAGTATTCGCTCTCAATTTTATTAAAAACCTGAGCCCCGATTACGGTAATTTTTAACGTCTACAATCCAGACACGCTTCTCGATTCTGCGCTACGATTGGTCGTTCAACAGCGTACGTCAGCTGTTTTGACCAATCGTATCGCAGAATCAGAAGCGCGTCTGGATTGGAAACGTTAAAAGTTACCGTAATCGGGGCTCTGTATCTTTTATTATTCTTTGAATACAAAAAAATGGTTTGCTTGCTTATGGTTTGTTCATTTGACAGTTTTGTAAGGTGAAGTCTACACTTATTATTTTTATTAATTCTAAGAATAAGAATGTGCAATTTTTTTTCGTTTCATAGCTTGTTAATATAACTTAACGTTAGTTAAATACCTCATAATAGGCCTGTTTTGGTTGTCGCTCTGATTTATTATCACTCTAATTACATTAAAGAAGAAAAAAAAACAATAAAGAAAAAATTTTTAATCATGATTAGTACTAGAGAAAAAACTACTTTAAGATCTTTTATTTAATTCATTATGAAAAAAAATGGTTTTCTAATTTATTTATTTATTTAATAGGACAACCAACAAGACACACTAGAAGACAATCAATATTTACATCGTATTTAAACTTGTAAACAAATACTTATTTTATTTCTTACATCACACAAAAGTATAAAACAAAGTCGCTTTCTTGTCTGTTTGTCCCTATGAACTGTTAAATAAGTAATTTAATCTTTAAAACTACAGAACAGATTTAGATGCGATTTTTTAAATATTTCAAATAGATAATAGTGATTCAAGAGGAAGGTTTATGTACTTAGCATCCGTAAAGTATAGGCGGGTCGCTAGTTGATATATTATTGTAATGACATTTAAGTTTATTATGTTAATTAATTGAGTTGTTAAAAGCAACCACTTTTATTTTTTAGTTGGTCGCAATTTTATTATCCTTTTACATGTCTGACAATGTTTCTATGGACTCTCTTCCCTTCGTAACAGGCGCGGATCCACCGTTGTGGGCACTGTGGGCATGCCCACAATCCTAATTTGCTTGTTTTAATTATGATCTACTAGCTGACCCGGCGAACTTTGTTCCGCCTTAATGGCAATAAATAAGCAGACTTTTTTTTAATTTCGAACGGGATAAAAAGTATCCTATGTCCTTCTCCTGGCTCTAAACTACCTCCCTGACAATTTTCAGCTAAATCAGTTCAGCCGTTCTTGAGTTATAAGCGAAGTAACTAACACGACTTTCTTTTATATATATAAGATTGATAAGATCGATAGGCATGTATGTATGTCCGGGCATGTAGTGATCCAACTCTCACTTTGCTAATTTTTGGTGACTGTGCCCACAACCTTTTTTGAGGGCTGGATCCGCGCCTGCTTCGTAACTCACTTGTAACTTCTCATGACTTCTGTGTGGACTGTGGAACTAACTATAACTACACAATAAGTATATTGGTCAACAGAATTGATCCATTATGGATCAGCCACCTATAAACAAATTACAAAACGTTATAGTTTTCATTTCGATATTTGCTACACGGAGCGAAGAACTTCAAAAGAGCTAGTGAAGTTTTTTCAAATATGTGCTCTGTGTTTTCAATTTGTTTACGTCTAGGGGGCAGATTGCCATCCTATGTGCAAAGTTTTTATAGGGACGATTCGACGTGAGGACGTTCATCGCCATCACCCAAAAAAAGAAGTCTTTTTCTTCTTCTTAGACGTGAGGACGAGACAAATGCTGTATGATGTATTTTTTATTTTATAAAAAATAAAATGTTAATTAAATTTTTCGTTGGTTTATATTTAAGGTATTCGGTATAAAGTTTTTAAAAATGTATTATTTAGTTGTTTTCAGTTTTCGTTAAAATTATCAAAAATTGTTGCATTGTGTAGACTAAGCTCTATAATACTATCCGTCATAAGTGTCATTGTGACAAACGTCACTGGCCGACAGCAAAATTGTTTGTCTATGGCTGCGATCAGCCGAAAATAGCGCTTGTTAGAAATTGTTAGCAACATGGCACTCGCCATGGTTACCGCCGAAACTTTAGCATGTTTTCGGCTAGGACACGTTTGCTAAAATTCAAAAGTGTCGTTTTCCCATACATTTTTTTACAGTGACAGCACTTACCGCTAAAAGTACGCTATTTTACTTGCTAGCGCTAACTAGCGCTATTTTCCGCCAAACGCCCCCAATTTGTCATCATTTCTGGTTGGATTGTTTTCAATTTTATAAAAATACTATTTTGTTGTTAAAAACGGTACAGTACAATAAAATAAAATGGAGCTTCAAGACACGTACTACAATAAATCTGAATACGTCGAGACTGTAAGTTCAAATAACTTTTCATGTCATGGATTAATAAAATTAAATGATAAACTACTCCCTACCTTTAACTGCATTTACTTCAACAGGCATCTGGTAACAAAGTGAGCAGACAGACAGTGCTATGTGGATCCCAGAACATTGTGTTGCATGGGAAAGTGATAGTTCAAAGTGATGCCATAATTCGAGGAGATTTAGCTAATGTGAAGACTGGAAGGTTTTGTATCATCAGTAAAGGCTCAGTTATACGGCCGCCTTTCAAAAAATTTAGCAAAGGGTAAGACAGAACTGTTGTTAATAATCTAACCTAATGTTGCATATCTTAAGTTACTTGTTTTGGAAGTCTGTGTAGCTTTTTACTTTTGTATTAAATGAAATCATTACACCATTTACAGCGTGGCCTTCTTTCCACTTCAAATGGGTGATCATGTGTTTGTGGGCGAAAACACAGTAGTGAATGCAGCTGTAGTCGGCTCATATGTTTACATCGGGAAGAATGTGGTTATTGTAAGTATTTATAAGTCAATATCAAAAAGCTCTGACTTTATTATGTCATACCATGGACTCAAATTTTCGTTGTATGAAGAAACTAGCAACCCGCCCCTGCTTCGCACTGGTACAATGTTTTATATTTAAAAACATTCCTCTTGAATCACTCTTTCTATTAAAAAAACTGCAACAAAATCCAATTCGTAGTTTTAAAGATTTAAGGACAGACAGACAGCGAAGCGACCATATTTTATACTATGTATCTTAGAGATACTTTAAATAAGAGACCTATCAATATGTGATTTTAATGGCTAGTGAGACCGATTAGATGAGCTCTTGAGCTCTTCTCATGAGCTAGAAACTGTAACCATGTAATTTATGCTGCTGCAATTTCAAATCTCAATGAAAATAGCGCTGTGTGAAATTGTCCAAAGATATTATTATAATATAATATTTTTCTCCGTTTCAGGGAAGAAGGTGTGTCCTCAAAGACTGCTGCATGATTGAAGACAACTCGGTCCTCGCAGCTGAGACCGTAGTGCCATCATTTGCAAGGTTCTCCGGCAGTCCTGCCAGGCTCGTGACTACTCTACCGGAAGCAATGCCTGATCTCATGACGGAGTTCACAAAGAGTTATTATCAGCACTTTTTACCAACTACTGTAAATTAATATTAAGTTACAATAATCAAGTATTAGCTGTAAAATTTTTTATGATATCACTATAAAATATAACTAACTAAAAAGCTTATTACTGAAGGCAAAGCAAAAAGGTATCAAAGCATTTATTTATTAAATTAAATTATTATACAGATTTTTTCTGTTTCTGTTTCTACTTTTTCTCCATACTCATAATTATTAAGGGATATAAGAGCAAAGTAAGTACCTATGGTGTTCAAAAAACGAAAGTTTGTGTGGATGTTGGTTATAATTTATGTGAATCTGTGGCACTAAATTTCACGCGGGTGAAGCCGCGGGTAAAAGCTAGTAGTTTATAATTATGGGATGATAATTTGGATCATTCTCCACCAAGTTTTTAACCCATTGAACGCCCGGACCGGCCATGAAAATAAAACCCTTCTTTAAAAGGAAAACATTTATTTTTAAATAATAAACAAACACATTACATCAGATTTTAGTGTGTTAAAGTTTAGTTAGTTAACTTCAATAATAAAGTAATAAAAGTTTTGTTATAATTTTATATGCTAGGTACATGTACAGTCAGCAAAAAAAAAGTTTTTAGTTATTATTATGGAACTTGTCAGGATGACGCAGTTCCATAATTGATGTTAGAAAAAACTGTTTTTAAAACAAAGAACTGTCATTAATGAAAAATGATGTTTCAGGGTCATCAATTAACTTTTCTATGAAATCATCATTTTCACCACCAGAGGTATGACTGAAATATTGTTCATATAACATTTGCGCTAAATAATAAGAGGAGCTGTCACTACCCCACTCAACGATGCCCCTGCATACGGCCATCCCGAATGAAGGTCTCGAAATATATTCCAGAAATTTATTTATAAAAAGATTCAGTGCAGTCCAATACAAATCCACAATCGAGGCAAAAAGTTCCCCCTTCATCATGTTGATATTTTCCACAATAATCTTACCAAACTCTTTACCAATATATTGTAACCCTTCACGTGTTACTTTTGGAGGATCCGATAACACTTCTGGCTTATATTCCATAACCTTTCGAATAGCATTGAATAATATTATATTGAAAGTTATATTGATGTTTTTGCCGAAATAGGAGTGAATGGGAAATGACTCGGTCATCCATCTTGCTATGTCTTTTAGCAGCGGAAGACACGACACATATGATTTGTCCATATAAACCCTTGTGTATCTTAACCCATTTATGAATTCCTCTAAGTAAGTCATAATCTCCTTTGTATTTTCTGTTTCTAGTGATTTCAATGTTTCCAGAAACGATTTTCCCATTTTTTCCATCTTTGTTTTTTGCTCTTCTTCAGATGTAGAAAGTAGCAAATATTTTGCATTAATTCTAACGAACATACTAATTGTGTTCATATCGTAATAGTTATCTACTGAATCTGATTCGTCTAGTTTGAACTTTTTGGAAAGTAATTCTTTATTAATTACTTTCTCGATAAACTCTTGCTCTATTACAGGTAGCATATTTTCAATGTGACACAGAATAGGCATAGCTTTGTTAAAGGAAATCTTTCTAAACGCTTCATACACCAACATTGCGTACTCTGCTCTCAAGGAAATTGGCATTGCATCAACCTTGGATAGAGTCTTTTGTAAATATTTGTGTGATGATAGGTCTATCGTTGTAATTAAATTTTTCACTGAATCCCACACTCTTGAATCAAAGCAATCTGTTTTATTGCGAATATATTGTAAAGCCACTTTGAGCGCAACTGTAGGCCTAGACTTAGCTACACATGAAAATGCGGAGGCTTCAATCCCTCCTCTGATGCCTAATTTTAAAGCAAGTTTCTCAGTACGTTTCCAAAGTAAAAGGTTTTCAACTGCAGCGGGAATAGCTGAATCACTACACATCGTAATTTTATTTGCAACCGCCTTCACTCCAGCCTCACGCCATCCGAATCGATCTAAATCGAACTTTGGACGTGCGATATGGGCATTAGCTCTAAGGCTACAAGCTATACGTTTTTCAATGCTTTTGCGTGGTTTTCCATCATAATATTTTATGTACTGGGTTAATGATGCTCCAGCTAAAATAGCCAAAGGTCGTGCAAGACTTACTCGGGGCTTTTCTTTCATCGCTCCATCGATTATTTCTACAAACCTTTTAGATAAACCACCTTCTTCGTTAAAGAATATAGCCAATTTGCGGAGAAACCCGTCCAGCTGAAATTCAGTTCCGGCAATTTTATGAATTTTTTGATCGGTTATTAATTCGGGTTCATGACGTAGAACATTCAAAAAAGATGCCTCGGTTTGTACGAGTTCAAAATTCTCACGAATTAAATGTTTTCGGGCTGTGTGAGAATTATACAAACGAAGCAATGGTTCTTTTGAGGCTGCAGGATCTTTTCCTGCGAGTCTTTTAACAGTAGACAAGATATTATCAAGAAACGAGTCAGCTGAGAGTTTATGCGCTTGTTTTACATCTAAGATTTTTAAAATAAGATCTGATGCAGCACTTGTATCATGATCCAGTTTCGCTTCCGATGCGTTTAGAAGAATTTTAGGCAGTAGCTGTTTAACAATGTATTTTTCACCTGTAGTTAAAGGATATTCAGTAAACGATGAAAAGGATCGGAGGTAAGCCACAAAAACCGAAGGCGTGTTCTCCTTTGAAGAAAGTAAATTTCGAAGAACTACTGCATGGATGCCTTCTACGCAATCAGCTTCGGAGTCAGAACCATCTAAACCTAATCCTCTTGCGAACTGTAAAAGTAATTGCCATGATTCGTCAGGTACCCGCCATACCGCCGAACGTTTTACAAGGCTGCGCACGACTGCCGCTCGAAGAGTTACAACTTCATTGCTGTGATGAAAAATTAGCCATTTTAACAGTTCGTGCACAGTATCTACGCGACCTCCGCTCTTACTCACCAATACCAGTAACATCTGCATGCGATTTTGGATGTTACTCGTTGCCAGTATCTCTTTTCGGAGGATATGAAAGGTACGCTCAAAATTTTGAAACCGGAAGCGGTTGTACAGCTTGTCCAGGGAACCTTCTCTTTTTACATTTTTCCATTTTCCGAATTTTCTCTTTTTTAGCATGTAACGGAAATGTGACCCTGAGCGTGAGCCAAGGCCATAGTCTCCCGGATCGTATGTATTGTCGAGAGATATAATTTTATCTGAATCATCTAACAGAGGTGTAGAAGGTATCTCATAAGGCCAGTGTTTTATTTTTTGGCCGATACATTTATCGACAAATATTTGTTTTTTGAATTGCACTCTATCATTTCTTTGAAGCTTCTTTAAAAGGGGTTCCACATTTTTATATGAGAACCAATTGAGATAATCAGCCTCTGCGAGCTTAGTAATAAGGACTTTAATTTCACCACTATCTAAATATGCAGCCAATGTTTGGACGTTTAGCAAAAAAGCTGTATACAGTTCCATCTTATTCATAAACCTGATTTTATGATTTTTCATAATGAATTTTGTCGCACTTGAGCTGAGCCTTTTAAAACTGTGAATGTTGAAATATTTTTCTGTGATGTCCAGAAATAGATCAGGATCTGTTTTAAGAAGACATTTCAAGCTATTGTAATATTTAGACTCATTTTTGCTATAAACCTTAATAAGATCTCTGTTACAACTTAACGAGTCGAAGTATAATTTGGCTACCTGCGGACACTTCTCTGCCATTAACTTAAGTTGATGTGGTGTTAATTTCGTCAGTAAATTTTCAACTTCATTCAAAATGAATTCATTGGAACAATGCCAGAGAAAGCTCATAGCTGAATCGTCTTTTTTCGCCGCGAAGTATTCGTAGAATTTTTGACATCTCTGAGGGTCACGAAGATGCAAGTGAAGCCATTGTTTCATTTTGCTAACGGAAGTGGTCAACATTTCAGGGAAGACTACTTCTTGTAAGTATTCCGGGTTGATGATATTGGTATATTTTGGTTCTAAAAGCCATCTGGATTTTAAAGCTCTGCTAACATATAACATGTCATCATCTTTTAGAGTAATTATGATATAATCGACCCGTCGATATTTGGATGCAAGGTCTATCTTGAAAAGTCTGTCAAGTGAAGATGTTTCACGAGCATCTTTAAGGCTGTCGAACTCCAAGTTTTGTTTGAAGGCTTCTTCAACTAGAGCATTCAACTGTCGATGCCGGTCTCCTAGTGTCCGTCCTGTTAGGACGACAGGAAAAGGTGATGACATCTGTAAAATAAAACGTAAGTATTTTTCGTGATCATTGAACTCTACCTTGATTTTCTAGATTTTCGTTCTTCCGATTAAGATACTTTTGAAAACCTACTACCAACTTAGTCAACATTGAACTAAAAAATAATGATAAGTATAAATTGCCTGCTTAGATTTTTTTGAAGACGCTACCGAAAAATGATTTGAAAGAAAGAAGTACTACACTCCAAAACTTTAAAACTAGCTAAAACAACTATCTATTGTAAGTATAAAATTGCGAAACATTTATTTTAGCAGCTGATAAAATAACGACTTACTCATGTCTTACCTATTTTTTAACCCTTCCCCTACGTAGGTACTTATTAAAATGTCGAGAACAAGCTTTGGTTTGCCTTACATACTTTAGCTACAAGATAGGACTTACATTTTAGCGAAAGAACTTCTCCGAAACTAGAAACCGAAAGATTTAATGCACAGTTTCTGACAGTTTATCATGATAACAAGATACGCTCTCTGATGGTAGGTACAATTTCGACGGAAAACTAAAATAGCATTGATCAATGATCATACATATAGGAATCTAGTATTTTGTCTACACCAAGCGCGATTGTGGTATTTTTTATTTGAAGGTCATTCAATTTTAGCCGCGTGTTTTGAATTGGGCTGAATTGGGTAAGTGCGTTAGATACATAGATAGTATCATAAAACCGTTTTTTGATCATGTGGTTTTGTGGAGGAGCTAGACTTTTTGAGGCAGGCGCAGGAACTGCTTGGCAGGTGGCGGGTGGAGTGGGTGAGACGTGAGAAAATTTTATCAAGGAATTAATTTTTCTATCGGAAGTTTTGTAGACAGCAACTTTTGTTTTTGCCGCGTAGCTTTGCCTCAGGAATAACGGTATTAACGTTAACAACCTGGTATAACGTTGATTTTTATTAACGATTCAATACCGCTAGACTGTGATGTCACTGCTAGCTAAGCCAACCAATGTGTGCGCGTCGACGTCAGCAATTTGACAAAAGTATTTGCCAATCACTGTCTTTTCCAAAACTGCTGTCCTTAATCTGATTGGCTGATTAAATGTCAAAACGTGTTAACAAATATGAAGAATACAGTTAGACAGGGGTCATTAAAAATCGAGCGAGCTTGGTCAAAGTCGTATATTTTTTGTTTATTATCAATTAATTATTGTTTTAAGTAGTGTTTACTGATAATCAATGTAATCAGGACATTGTAAATGGTGTGAAAAGTGAAATCCATCGTCATTTTATTATGGAGTTTCATTATTCCGATCTTTGTCTACCGACTGACCATCTTCTGACTGGTATGTAAACATTTACGAATAAAAATCGATATTCTTACGATATTTGTTTCAGCGTTCCTCATAGAGAATTATTATAAAAATAGGCAATTTTATGCATGGTCGCATTTAGTTTTTTGTCGGTCTCCAAGACCCAGCAAATGGTATGAAGCAAAATTATATCTTGCTATGGTAAATGTCTTTACATAGATATTTATAAACAATTATAACCTTAGTTGATCAAAATAAGGACGATTATGTAAGAAATATTGTTGATTGCAGCTGATATAATATTTATCTTCTTTTCCCACTTACCTTCTGAAGATTTAAACTAAAGAGTTTAATTGCATCTGGTCTATTTATTTAATTAACTTTAATACTCCTTAATCATTAGTAAAATTTGTTATACAAAATGTATGATGTTGGGATCATCATTCCTTTTAAATTTGTTTAGTTCTAAGGAATGATCTGCTATGCCAATTTAATTGGTATTTTTTTACCAGATGTCTTCTGTATTTTTTTTAATTTATGTATGCTAAGATATTCGGCAGCCTTACCCACTAGATACTCTCCCAAAATAAAAATTATGTTATAACTATCATGGTAAAACTGGTTATGTTTGTCTGTCTTAGATCCGTATGCAGCCGAGTTCACCCCTCAGTATATGATTCCCAACCACAATGCAGAGTATGAGGTACGAAGCAGTGTCCTAGTGGATGGAGGAGATAGATTCGGAGTCTCCGCAGTAGTTTTCGACAAGTTCGAAGAGTTAATATGGATGGGAAATCAAGGTGTAAGTAGTTGGTACTGTATAGTACTTTACTTTGCTAATTATTACTTTTAAATGCACTATTATTTACTTCAGAGGAAATTCTAAAGTCAATAAATCTTAGTTTCAAGATTCCCTGTGAGTTTTTCCTGTTGAATCATTTTATCCCACTTTATTATGTTATTGAGATCTCTCAACGAACATCAAATAGTGTAGAAATAAGGATTTATTTCGTGTTCCTGTTTACAAGAAAGAGAAATGTGCCATTGAACTCAAATATGTAAATTTTGTGTATGAATGACAAAGAAAGATTTTTAAAGCTGCACAGGGGCTTATAAATAATGCATTCTTTTTACAACTACCTACAAAGTGAAAATGTATCATTCAATATTCCATTATTCATTAAAGTAGTTGTTTACTGACCACAATCACTGAAACAGATTTTTTTAAACAATTTAAATATTTCTTTATGTAGGGTCATGTGACCTCATATTACGGACCGAGCATGCAAAAATACACATCATTCCAAGTACATGAGTCAGAGGAAGTAAGGGACATAATCACAGTCGAACAAGGCATCTACGCTTTGACCAAGACCGCTCTACGTCACCAAATTAGAAGAGGCATCCCTAAAAATACCTATAGGTAAGAATTGAAAATAAAATTATATATTTCTTATGTTTAAATTATTGTTTTACTAGCTTTAACTCACGGCTACGCTTGTGTGAAATTCAGTTTGTCACTGATTCTATTCTGATATAATGTAATGTCTGTTGAATAAACAAAACAATAGGGCGACAGCATCGCTACTAACGCGCGTTAGTCGCTTTTGCAACGCAGTACAGAAGTGATGCCAACGCACTACTAACGCGCTACAGCAGCCCATCTGCATCGCTACAAAAAGTCGCCGTGGGCAAGGGCCCTAAAGTTTCACCAAGACCAAGGCTGGTTTTAGTGTCACGCGGACCGTCCAGTGCGGATCCGCTCCACACAGCCGATCTGTATAAACTTCGAGGGAGCGTTTAAGAGTAATGCGGTTTGCAGGAACCGCTCGCTCCCTAGCAGTTCATACAGATTGGCTGTGCGGAGCGATCCGCATTCCGCACTGTCAGTCCGCGTAACACTAAAACCAGCCCAAGATATTAAGGCACCAAAGCACGACACTTCTTCATGTTCACGATGTTCGTCTGTTTTAAAAGTATTATCGCAATCTCTTTCAGGTCAGACAACATGACAGACATGCAATGTCTTTACCAAGTAAGCACTACAAAACTCTTGATGGGAGGACACCAAGATAAACTGCTTGAGTTGGATCTCACTAAAATGAAGGATACAGTCATTGTAAGTATAGTTACAATATAAAGTTTGATGCTGTTTTGATCATCATCCTTATATGGGATTTGATTTAGAAATTATTTTTGTGTTGTCATTAAGGGCCATATTTCTGCAAAACTTCAATCCATTGGGACCTCTTGTAACATGACACACTCGATTCAGCCAAATGACGTCCACTGCTGGACAAAGGCCTCACCCAAGGATTTCCACAACAACCGGTCTTGCGCCGCCCGCATCGAGTTACCTCCCGCGACCTTGCATAGTGCCCTATGAAAAAAAATTGTAACCAATGAAAGACTTGAGATGAAAATCTCACAGAACTTTTATATCTATATCTATAATAAAAGCGAAAGGTCACTGATTGACTGACTCACTCATGATGAAATCTCAGAAACTACTAGTGCTATGAGTGTCAAATTTTGCATGGGGGTTCCTTTTACAACGTAGGTGCTCACTAAGACGGGATTTTGCAAAATTCAACTCCTAAAGGGCTAAAACGGGATCCACGCGTACGAAGTCGTGGGCGGCCGCTAGTCATAACATAATAGTTTTAAGTTTCTTTATTATTATTTTCCAGCCTATCCAAGAAGAAGGTTGCGCCGTGCTCCGTAGCGGTGGTGGATCTCTTGTAGCCTGCGGTAGCGCTGACGGAATGGTGGCCCTTCGCGACATAAGGACGCCTAAAGCGGCCGAGCATACGTTTAGAGCACATTCGGCTTGCCTCTCAGACCTGGACATGCAAGGTGACCTGTTGATCACTTGTGGATTCACACAGTCGTGAGTATTTGAGGGATGCATTTAGTTTTGACAATGTTTGAAAGACGTGGGTTTGAGTGAATTATGATTTTTTCTGATTCTAGATGTTATACATCATAATACAGGTGAATTTTTTGAGCTTATCTCTTTTTTGCTGTGCGTAATAAATTCCCAGAATAAAATTAAAACCAATTCGCGTGAAGATACGGTAGTGTTTTCAACGACAAATATTTCTATTAGTGCTTTTGAAAAGCCTACTTGCATGAATAAAATGAGATTTATTCAGAAGACAAACGCCCGTTTTCACCAACGATGCTTGCTTAAGTGAGCAAATCGAACGCACAGCGTTGAATAGAGCTCTGTGATTGGTTCGTTTGTCACCCTGTGCGTCCACGCGCACTGTGAGACCTCATAGTGATGTTTGTGAATACGCGCGTGAGACTCACTATTTTATCGTTTCTCAGACATGTTATAATTAACACTGTACGTACATACAGCATAATATAATTATAAACAGTCCAATTATATGTCTATTGGTACCTGTTTTGCTTGATCCTCATTTGACCCTTAAATTTTGTATTCAGATCGGGTGGAGCGGTAGCGGAGCCATACGTTGTAGTGTGGGACGTCCGCTGCCTTCGCGGTATGAACGCAGCGGGCGGGGGGGCGTGGTCTCTCCAGACCCGCTCCCCTCCCCTCTTGCTTCACTTCCTACCCGCGTTCTCGGGCAGAGCGGTCGCGTTGTCGGCCGATGGTCACGTGGCATTGCTGCATCTTAACGCGCCTGACACTGAGAACCAGTCGGTATTCCAGGTGAGATGATACTTTAGTCATTAAGCTTACATTGCAGGAGAATGCCTCAAAGCTAGAAGCCAATGGAGGATTTGGCTTGGACGCTCTATGCTGGCCAGACAGGATATACAAACATCAGGCTTCCCCAACCATTGTCCCTTAGTAACTTTCTGCGACATTCACAGAAAGACTGAAGGTGGTCATACTCGTAATCTAGTCTGCCGCATACGCATAATCTAGTATCCAACGCCCGTATTCACAAAAGATGCTTAAGTGAATCAGCAAATCGAACGCACAGCGTTGACCCTGTGCGTCCACGCGCACTGGGAGACCTCATAGTGATGTTTGTGAATACGGGCTTTAGTGTGGGACGTCCGTTGTCTTCGCGGTATGAACGCAGCGGGTGGGGGGGCGTGGTCTCTCCAGACCCGCTCCCCTCCCCTCTTGCTTCACTTCCTACCCGCGTTCTCGGGCAGAGCGGTCGCGTTGTCGGCTGACGGTCACGTGGCATTGCTGCATTTGAATGCGCCTGACACTGAGAACCAGTCCGTATTCCAGGTGAGAATAATTTAGACATTAAGTTTCCATTGCAGGAGTATGATCCTCTCAAACTTATTAGAGGCTAGAGGAATTGGCCTAGACTCCCCACGCTGACCAGACGGGTTGTACAAATATCAGGCCTCTCTTGGTCGCCTTTTGTCCCTTAGTCGCTTTCTACCACATCCACGGAAAGGTGGTCATAATAAAATTTATAGTCTACTAGCTGACACTACACTACGCGACTACTTTGGTTTTACCTATACAAATATCTCGGTGTGAGCCGGCGCTGCCTTCGTGGTATGAACGCAACAGCAACAAGAACACATCGGGGTGTGTGGTCGCTCCAGACACTGTTCGATGTTCGCATATTTATCTCATCGCCTCTTGCATGGTCTTATTCTACTCTCCTGACAACCAAGGTTTAACCAACATAATCATGCATCTATGGGTCCTGTGAGTCCTCTAATTTACCATCGTTTCAGCCAAATGACGTCCACTGCAGGACAAAGGCCTCCCCCAAGGCTTTCCACAATGCACGGTCTTGCGCTGCCCGCATCCAGGCTCTTCCCGCGACCTTTACCAGATCATCGGTCCACCTAGTAGGAGGCCGGCCCACGCTACGTCTTCCAGCCCGTGGTCGCCACTCGAGAACTTTTCTGCCCCAACGGCCATCGTCTCTACGAGCTAATTTACCATAGGCAAATAGATCTTTGGGAGATCTAAGGTTTGCATTTGTCTTTTCTTGGTTATAGGTCGACACGCACAGTTCGGTGTGCAGCGTGATGGACGTGTCTTCCACCAGCCAAGCGCTCGCGTTCGGGGACCAGGCTGGCCATCTCCATCTGTTCTCGCCGCAGCACAACCACGAGCCCGTGTTCAATAACTTTTCAAGGTAACATTTTAATTTTAGTTTTTTTTTTTCAACTTAGCAAATAATATAATAATAATAAAATCAGTTATTTGCCAGAATACGGTCACAAATGGTTATAGAGAGAAGTTTCCATCATATTCTATCGTACATACGATGTGAAAATATTACAATTATATTATATTCTTATGTCCTGGCAATTATTGTACTTCTAAGTGATGACAATAAGTTTAATCAAAATAAGTCCAGTTGTTTTTGCGTTAAGTAGTCACAAACACTCATGATTACGCGTTTATTCGCGTTATTGAATTATGTTTCACAATAATCGCACTTCTGTTACACTCTATTTTTGAAAAATAATAATAAAAATTTACTAAATGTATTTTTTNAAATTCGCGTAAAAAACGGTAGTGTTTTCAACTACGAATATTTCTATTAGTGCTTTTTAAAAGCCTACTTGCATGAATAAAATGAGTTTTATTCAGAAGACAAACGCCCGTATTCACCAACGATGCTTGCTTAAGTGAGCAAATCGAACGCACAGCGTTGAATAGAGCTCTGTGATTGGTTCGTTTGTCACCCTGTGCGTCCACGCGCACTGTGAGACCTCATAGCAATGTTTGTGAATACGGGCGTGAGGCTCACTATTTTATCGTTTCTCAGACATGTAATAATTAACACTGTACGTACATACAGCATAATATAATTATAAACAGTCCAATTATATGTCTATTGGTACCTCTTTTGCTTGACCCTAAATTGACCCTTTGTATTCAGATCGGGTGGCGCGGTAGCGGAGCCATACGTTGTAGTGTGGGACGTCCGTTGCCTTCGCGGTATGAACGCAGCGGGCGGGGGGGCGTGGTCTCTCCAGACTCGCTCCCCTCCCCTCTTGCTTCACTTCCTACCCGCGTTCTCGGGCAGAGCGGTCGCGTTGTCGGCTGACGGTCACGTGGCATTGCTGCATTTGAATGCGCCTGACACTGAGAACCAGTCGGTATTCCAGGTGAGATTGTACTTTAGTCATTAAGTTTCCATTCCAGCTGACAGCTCGCTTTGAAGGAGCTAAGTCAAACTATGTGACCTAAAAATCTGACTTGCCCCCCCTAGGCCAGAAGCTGGGTATGACTTGCCCCCCCACCTCCCTTTGGCTAGAAGCTGAGTACGCCCATGTCTCAAACTTACTAGAGGCTAGAGGAATTGGCCTAGACTCCCCACACTGACCAGATGGGTTGTATAAATATCAGGCCTCCCTTTCTCGCCTTTTGTCCCTTAGTCGCTTTCTACGACATCCACAGAAAGACTGAAGGTGGTCATACTCATAATCTAGTCTGCCGCATACGCATAATCTAGCATCCAACGCCCGTATTCACAAAAGATGCTTAAGTGAATCAGCAAATCGAACGCACAGTGTTGACCCTGTGCGTCCACGCGCACTGGGAGACCTCATAGTGATGTTTGTGAATACGGGCATTAGTGTGGGTCGTCCGCTGTCTTCGCGGTATGAACGCAGCGGGCGGGGGGGCGTGGTCTCTCCAGACCCGCTCCCCTCCCCTCTTGCTTCACTTCCTACCCGCGTTCTCGGGCAGAGCGGTCGCGTTGTCGGCCGATGGTCACGTGGCATTGCTGCATCTTAACGCGCCTGACACTGAGAACCAGTCAGTATTCCAGGTGAGATGATACTTTAGTCATTAAGCTTACATTGCAGGAGAATGCCTCAAAGCTAGGAAGCCAATGGAGGATTTGGCTTGGACGCTCTATGCTAGCCAGACAGGATATACAAACATCAGGCTTCCCCACCCATTTGTCTCTTAGTAACTTTCTACGACATCCACAGAGAGACTGAAGGTGTTCATACTCGTAATCTAGTCTGCCGCATACGCATAATCTAGTATCCAACGCCGGTATTCACAAACGATGCTTGCTTAAGTGAATCAGCAAATCGAACGCACAGTGTTGACCCTGTGCGTCCACGCGCACTGGGAGACCTCATAGTGATGTTTGTGAATACGAGCTTTAGTGTGGGACGTCCGTTGTCTTCGCGGTATGAACGCAGCGGGCGGGGGGGCGTGGTCTCTCCAGACTCGCTCCCCTCCCCTCTTGCTTCACTTCCTACCCGCATTCTCGGGCAGAGCGGTCGCGTTGTCGGCTGACGGTCACGTGGCATTGCTGCATTTGAATGCGCCTGACACTGAGAACCAGTCGGTATTCCAGGTGAGATTGTACTTTAGTCATTAAGTTTCCATTGCAGGAATACAAACCTATCTAATTTTACAGACAGAAGTAAATGTAGAATTTGGCCTAAACTCCCCAGTGGTGTAGGTGTAGGTGCTGTCCAGAGGGGTTAGGCAACTGTTGCAATCTGCCGGCGCCATAGGCAACATTGACGTTACCAACAAAGATACAAGACGCAAATGGATATTTGGCCTAGACTTCCTGCACTCTGCTGCTAGATAGGGTTGATGTTCGCATATTTTTGTCCATTAGTCGCTGTTTATGACTTCCATGAGAAGAGCAAGGATAGTCATAATCTACTCTGCCAGAGCCCATTGCTACGCTAGGCTACTAACAAAGATACATGACCCTCTATTTACCAGAAGCAAATGAATCTTTGGCCTATACTCTTTTTTCTCTTCCTCGCCATATGCTTTAGGGAGGCCAAATGCTCGCGTCTAAAGCCTTGATCACACGTACCGAGTAATCGGGCGAGACAGTGCTCTCGGCCGAGTACTCGGTGTGTATGAACATTACGCGAGTATGTGACTCGCTCACCCAACTCTGTCTCGCCCGTTTACTCGGTACGTGTGATCAAGGCTTTATTTCCCTCTTACACCCTGGAAAAAAAAAACTGATATTTTAAATAGATTAGAAGCCCATCGAATCGCACCAATCTCATACCTACTATTTGTAGATTCGTATTCAATTGTATTAGTATAAAATTCTTGTTTTAAGGTCGACACACACAGTTCGGTATGTAGCGTGATGGACGTGTCTTCCACCAGCCAAGCGCTCGCGTTCGGGGACCAGGCTGGCCATCTCCATCTGTTCTCGCCGCAGCACAACCACGAGCCCGTGTTTAATAACTTTTCAAGGTAATAATTTTTTTTAGCTAAAGCATCCCCCTTTTGTATGGCTTTTGCAGATTAAATTTATCGAAGAACACGTGACTAAAGTATTGGAAGTCCGATACGAAACACTATAGCTGCATTAGGTGACATTTTTCAACATCATCATCATTCATTAAGTCTCCACTAGCCCTTATTAGTAGTTAGTACAGCAGTAGGAGGATGGCCCTCACTAATTTATCAGAAGCAAATGGACAATTTGGTCTACATTCCACACTATTATTTCGCATATTTCTTCTTAGACATCAACGAAAAATAGGTTCAGACTTCAGAGTTTACTAANTTTACTAAATGTATTTTTTGTGTCTTTCAGAGCAACAGAATTCGCAGACCAAGTAGTAGGCTTGCCGTTCGCCAACTTTAACGACACAAACTTCCAGTATTCGTCAGTTCCACTGCCGCAGCTTTCATCTGGTCCAAAATGGTTTAACGTACTCCCCGAAGAATTCTTCAAAAGGAATTTCAGGTCAGAAATTTTTATATCATACCAACAAAAATCATCAAGAACTCATGTGGTTTAAGTTGAAGAATCATTAATTTTGTAGGAGACCAAAGCCAGTGGATGCAGAAGTGCTCAAAACAATGAAAATGCAAGGACCTATAGGATATGCACCAAACCCTAAGACTTTTAAAAGGAATCAGGTATAACATAAATTAAGAACTAACATGTCTGTGTTTCTAGATAAAGGAACTGTTCCTTNAGTTTCATTGCACCTTTTGGCCTTGGTAATATTGGTTTATTATGCCTTTTTGGTACTTCAAACTATTTCGTCTATGGTTTGGGCAAGTTGTATTTTAACTTCATTCAGCATGCATTGACTGCTAAATTGTTATGTTACCACAATCATATATTTTTGTATTACATTTTTAGATGCCGTACGTAGAAGATAATTTTGAAGATTTGAACGCAGCGAAACTAAACGAAAGTAAATACAGCCCACAACCAATTCCCAAGCATTATCAGAAGGTGAGCACTTTTTAGAATACTAGAGTACTTTAAAGCCGGGTGTAAAGCGTAATGGAATGTATCGTGTAATCTAATGGAAATAGTACGGGCACCACATGTAATGCTCGTAGAGCCGTCCACACGTAGAATTCGTGTTACATTACACATTACACTCGGCTTTAGTAGTGGAGGACTGGAGATATATCTCCACTTTGGGACATCAAGCTGACAAAAGTTGACAACAAAGATGTGTTGCGATCTTTGTGGCTACTTTGGGTGTTGCGAACTATTTGACGCTGACTGTAACTTATCAGGCTTTTGTTACTGTTATAAAATATTGACAATTTGTGAGTCTCACCATCTCTATTTATTATTTTCAGGTTGAGTTACGATACAATAAACACGGACCTAATGATATTGACTTGGAGAATTGTAACAAAACGGGCTTTCCAGGGATCGAAGCTACATTACCAAATTCGTATTGTAATTCAATGCTTCAGGTAAATATTTCCTCAATCTCATTTACAAAGAAAAATAAACACATAAGTACCTACCCTCTTTTTTTACAAAAACGAAATTAATTTTAATTTTGTCTTTTTCTATCACAGTGCTGTGGAAATGGTACGGAAAGATAATACTAACACCCGATACAGTTGATTTTTTTAAGTAATTAAAAAAAATAATTAAAACTAGCATTTATCTTTAGTGAATAAAAGTGAGCTTTTTTAAAATTGCAGGTCCTTTACTACACACCCCCAGTCAAGTCTACACTATTAGCTCACACATGTGCTAAAGAATTTTGCCTTAGCTGTGAATTAGGTATGTTTATTGCCTTCTAAAACGTTTCAGATTTAAGTTCGTAAAATATCCGCATGCCATACGATCGCGGTCGGGTTTTAACATTTAGAAATCGATTTATTCGATCTAACATGCGCTTTGTAATTTTTTTTATGAAATAATCTTTTCGATCACTAAATAATTTCCTTTTCATATACCTATTCTGAGACAACCGAAATGATAGATTGCATTATACGAAGGCACGAATGAAAAATAACGAACGAATGATTTCAAACTAGCATTCACTCATTCAAATCATTCATTCAACTTTATTGCAGCGACATACCATCACCATCTTATGATTTCGAAAGTCTTTTGTTTCGCCTCTCCTTTACAGAGATCCTCTGTTATGTTTTTAAAGTTCAAAATGCAATCTTGTCCAGGGTTCTTATTCCGAATGCTGGATACGTCTGGCGGCGCAGCGTGCCAAGCGAATAACTTCCTTCGGGCGTTCCGAACGGTGCCTGAGGCTGCGGCTTTGGGTCTCATACTGCCAGACCGCGGGCCGGCGCCTCGGGCTGACTTGATAGCGCTTATACAGGTATATGTCTTGATCATTGGTGGTTAAAAAAATATAACGTATTTTCTATTGTTAGTAAGTCGTCGTCCCGATGAGCCACTTTGAACGTCCATGGCAAATAACTAAGTGGTATTAAAACTAAAGCCTGGTCCGTGAGCACGTAGAATTTTGTCCAATGACCCCAAGCTACCCATCCTTATCGCTCGCGCGTAATTATATTGCTGTCGCGACTGTGCGACGGGTGCCCGCAGTGAGTGTGCGAGTGCGACAGCAACATAAATACGCACGAGCGATAAGGATGGGTAGCTTGGGGTCATTGGATAAAATTCTACGTGCTCACGGACCAGGCTTTAATTTCTAACTAACGTTAAACGTTTGTTGCGAGTCAGGAATTTAACATTTTTCGCAGTTTTTGTATCAAAATAACATTCTGCTTGACACTGGTGACTTACTGTCGAAGATTTCAAATCAAATAATATCGTTGACGTAATCGTCTGAAACTACACGTGTTTTGAGTAAACTTCTCACTTTACTATCCTCAGTCAATAATTTAATTATTGCATTTTTTCCAGAGCTGGAACCGCTTCATCCTCCACCAGATCCACTACGAAATACTAGAAACGCGAAAGAAAGAGAAGGAGCTAGCGATACTAACGCAAAACAGTAGTCCGCCGAAAGCGCGGGTTGCCAACGCGAAGCAACCGAGAAGTTTGGCAACGCCGCACATGAATGGACAATATACTGCAGAGGAGTATCAGTACACGGAGTTAGAGTTCCTAGGACCGTCTACGGAGTTTGAACCGGAGGAGTTTGGGAGGGAATTGAGGGAGGATGGGTGGCAAGCGAGAGAAGAGGGTAAGTGTTTTTTTTTACAAGTTTTGACCATGTTTCTTTTCGGAAACCAATGTAGAAATTGATCTACACTCTTGTTTTTTTTTATGCATAACAAGTCAGATATTTAACCACAATCGCACCTGATGTTAAGTGGGATGCAGTCTAGGATTGTACATATCTGCCTTGTAAGGGCATATTTACTCTCGCCTTGAAAACGCCTGGATTATAGTCTCAGTTATAACCTCAGTTGTTACAATTCATACAATGTAAGGAATAATAGCCTTCCAGTTTAAGATACTAGTAAACATATAGCCCACATAACAAGAATAATAAATAATAATACTCATAAGTTCTTTTATATTTTTTTATGCAGCAATATTTGGGCTTCCAGATTTTTTAGGTATGTCTAGATGATGTATAGAACCTTATAGTCTTTTTCACCTAAGATGATCCGTATGACGTTTCGAGTTTGAAAGATTTAGAGATGTCACATAACTAAACCATAGCGATTTATCTATCAATTTTTTTCGAATAGTTAGTAAAACCTACTTTTAGAGAAATATTTTGTATAGGTGTTATTTAACAAAAAACATGTTTTTTTAATTACAAATATTATTGTAACAATTTTTTATTGATAATATTCAAATTTCATGGTTCGTGTTAAAAAAAACGACTCCTAAAAAGTACTGGTTCTGTTTCTTTAAATTAAAAACTATTAATTTATTTTCAATGCGTTTATTAAAGTCAATAATCGAAAAATATAGTTGATTTTTGTGATTTTTTTAATAACTAAATATTCACTGCAATCGATTAATGAACTGCGGAAATAATCGATTTTATTATACAAGAAATACCCCAGCACTAAATCTATTCCGTTTCACACATTGCGTACATTAAATAAAAAATATTTTTACATCGTATTTAATTAAAATATAATCAATAGACTCAGATTTTACTATATATTTCAAGACAAGTAGTTATTTTTTATTTTATTATACTGCTAATAAAATTCAAATATTTTTTCAAAAATATTCTGCATATGTAGTATGCGTAATATGGATAACCTTGAAGTGTCATACGGATCATCTTACGTGAAAAAGACTATAGTATAGAATCAATAAAATTTATTTATATTTATTGTGTAGAATGTAGCCCTATAACACAATAGTTATAACGCTTGAATAACTTTCGATGTTGAGAACATCAGCTGTCAATAAAGAATGACGAATTTACTCAATGTATTCTGTACTTTATTTGTGTTAGTTTTGGTTTAGATTGCCGTAGTGACAATTTCATTGAATTTTAAATACAACCGTATAGACATGACCTGTTTCTAGGGGCAGTTGAGACAGAACCAGTAACGAATTGTGAGAACCACGAGCTTCCAAACAATCGTCACGTCGGACGTGAGGAATCTGAGATATCGCACTTGTTCGCCATTGGACGCAACCAGTTGAACAGGTGTCTGAAGTGTAACAAAGAGGTAAGTACGCAAATCTGTCGTTGTAACGAAGTATACAGAATACATTAGCATTGCGAATACAGAGAAAAGAGAAGTGCGCGTACGCCAGCCGTATAAATCAGTCTGTTTCTCGCATGGTATTTATGAACTGTCATACTGTTGTAGAATCTATTGATCAAGTTCGATAATATTTTTTTTCTTTGTGTATTTTCTGCCCTATGGCAATCTGTTCGAAAACAATTAAGCCACTTGTTTGGCTGGAGCTGCATGTCCTGAGTTTTAGGTTGTCTTCGAGAGCCAATCAATTGCTGAACTTTTTCCAGCAAACTCTTCCTGACTCAGTCTAGAAATCTTTGGGCGAGTCTGGGAATGCTTTGTCTTTTCAGTCGATTATCATTGTACTGTAGTCCACCTTCTCCACTTAAGGCCAAGTTCGATAATATGCACGATTTGATTCTGCTATTCATTGACATATACAACAAAGAAACGAGCTATTTGAACATTGAAATAGTTACAGAATGCAACGGGCATAATACACGTGGGTCGGCCTTCCGCGAACTGTTAAAATTAAGCCAATCACAGGCGTTTATTGTGTGCATGCACTGTCGTGCTAGTCACGATCAAAATCACGGTTGCCAGGGTCAAAAATACAAATGAATGAGTGTCATAGCTCACGACCTAACTAACGAGTCAGTACTATCATCATCGGTTGCCCAACACATCCTGATGGATGCGCTTCATATTATTCTGTGGCTCGACTTTTGCCTGGCGCGGCAGCCAAATAAAAAGCCTAACAAAAGCCGGACAGGCCGGACAAGACCGTAAAAAGCCAAACATGTCCTATGTCACCTATAACAGTCGTGAGTAACTCATGTAACCATTAACATCATCTTTTTAAATTCTGTAGTGCACCTAGAAATGAAATTCAAACCGTATTACAGGAAGAACGCGAATCAGTAGTGTTAGCGTGCGCGCTCCAATACCCAACGGGCGCGCCGCGCGAAGGTGGCGACACGCGCGGCGGCTTCGTGGAACTAGTGCGGGCGTCACTTGCGGCAAGACGTAGTACGCCGGCCTGGTGCGAGCACTGTTCGCGGTTCACGCCTACCACGCAGCGAGGACGCATCGTGAGGTGAGTTAAAGGATAGTGCTAGTCAGTCACACACTCACTGCGGGCGCGCGTCGCACAGTCGCGACAGCAATATAATTACGCGCGAGCGATAAGGATGGGTAGCTTGGGGTCATTGGACGGGATTCTACGTGCTCACGGACCAGGCTTTAGTACCAACATATCATCATCTTCAGCCACAAGCGGCGGCTTCGTGGAACTAGTGCGGGCGTCACTTGCAGCAAGACGTAGTACGCCGGCCTGGTGCGAGCACTGTTCGCAAATAATGCAGGCAAAAGACCCTCTCCAATCCACCAGAGGCCAATGGAAGATCGGTTCACGCCTACCACGCAGCGAGGACGCATCGTGAGGTGAGCTAGTAGATAGTACCAACGTATCATCAGCCACAAGCGATGGCTTCGTGGAACTAGTGCGGGCGTCACTTGCAGCACGACGTAGCACGCCGGCCTGGTGCGAGCACTGTTCGCGATTCACGCCTACCACGCAGCGAGGACGCATCGTGAGGTAAGTGGTCTTATNTGGTGAAGTCAGAAAATTGATATCTTCATATTAATTATTTTAATTTTCATACAAATCGGATTTTATAAAATTTATTATGTATGAAAATTTAAAAAATTAAAATGATAATATCAAATTTCTGACTTTCACCATACCATTTATATGCCCATGTTAACATGGGCTAGTGTCGGCTCATATACCCATTTACCTAACACCCTGTAGAACCTTAGTATAGAATTAATACAATTTATTTATGTAGATTGTGTAGAATGTAGCCCTATAACACAATTCGATGTTGAAAACATAAGCCGTCAATAGAGAATGACGAATTTACTCAATGTATTCTGTACTTATTTGTGTTAGTTTTGGTTTAGATTGCCGTAGTGACCATTTCTTTGAATTTAAAAAACAACCGTATAGACATGGCCTGTTTCTAGGGGCAGTTGAGACAGAACCAGTAACGAATTGTGAGAACCATGAGCTTCCAAACAATCGTCACGTCGAACGTGAGGAATCTGAGATATCGCACTTGTTCGCCATTGGACGCAACCAGTTGAACAGGTGTCTGAAGTGTAACAAAGAGGTGAGATTATTTATGTTAATAATTCTAACAAGCTCTATTATCTGTTCGATTCTGTTATTCATGTAACCATAATTTATGTGGGTATAGCAAATTAAAACCGTGTGATAACGACAGTGAAATATGGCCCGAACACCATGGGCACAGAGTGTATTATATTTCATGAACTCTAGTTCTCGTATTAATTTGTGTGTATCGATCCCGCGTCACCAAGTATTAATGAATCGCGCATATTACCATGCCTACGGCATTGGCAGTAATTTATTTTATTGCACAATGTCTTATCTAATCTGCTCTATTACATTTCTGCATCTAGCACGGTGTCCTGCGTCTGTGATAAATACGGTGCTCTTAGTAGACGCGTAGTAACTAAGGTTCTTCGTCACACCGCGAAGTAGCGTTTCGCATTGCCTTTGCCGCTGAAGTCAACGAACTTGTATTATCCGTGCACGCAATTCAAAACTCAATCTGTATTGCAGGAAGAACGCGAATCAGTTGTGTTAGCGTGCGCGCTCCAATACCCAACGGGCGCGCCGCGCGAAGGTGGCGACACGCGCGGCGGCTTCGTGGAACTAGTGCGGGCGTCACTCGCAGCAAGACGAAGCACGCCGGCCTGGTGCGAGCACTGTTCGCGATTCACGCCTACCACACAGCGAGGACGCATCGTGAGGTGAGTTAAAGGATAGTGCCAGTCAGTCACACACTCACTGCGGGCGCGCGTCGCACAGTCGCGACAGCAATATAATTACGCGCGAGCGATAAGGATGGGTAGCTTGGGGTCATTGGACGGGATTCTACGTGCTCACGGACCAGGCTTTAGTACCAACATATCATCATCTTCAGCCACAAGCGGCGGATTCGTGGAACTAGTGCGGGCGTCACTCGCAGCACGACGTAGCACGCCGGCCTGGTGCCAGCACTGTTCGCGGTTCACGCCTACCACGCAGCGAGGACGCATCGTGAGGTGAGTTAAAGGATAGTGCTAGTCATTCAGTCGTGCCATCATCATTACCTATGCTCGGTGGCTTCGTGGAACTAGTGCGGGCGTCACTTGCAGCTGGACGTAGCACGCCGGCCTGGTGCGAGCACTGTTCGCGGTTCACGCCTACCACGCAGCGAGGACGCATCGTGAGGTAAGTGGTCTTATAGGTTAATGCAGGCAAAAGACCCTCTCCAATCCACCAGAGGCCAATGGAAGATCGGTTCACGTCTACCACGTATTGCGGACGCATCATGAGGTGAAGTGACATTGCATAGGTTTACCAGAGGCAAAATGGCAGATTTGACCTACGCTACGAGTTGGGGTTGGGGAGGCCTGATTTTCGTATATTTCTCCCTTAGTCCTATTCTACCAAAAGGTATTAAGCAACATAAGAATTTGTACAGTTCAGTTTATAATGATTTGTCTATTGTTCCAGGCTACCACCAATACTAGCCATCAACTGCGGGGGACCACACGAAAAAGCATATTGGATGAAAGGCAACCAGAAAGATGTGGTAACTAAATATCATCACCCATTTCATTCACTTGTTGTTTTCTCACCGATTATTTTGTATGTTTTACGTGTGTGAGTTGAACATTTATTTGGGAAGAACTCATAAAAGCATGTAAGACCGAGTTTTTCTCTCAGATATTTTAATTTAACGCTACGTTGGAAATAACTGTAGAATGTATGTTTTAAGTTTAAATTGAAACGAATTGGCAACTGGCACTACCCAAAATTTCGCTAGATTTTTTATTAACCTTTTCACAACCAACGATGTTTTTATTTAGGCTTTTTATACTTACCTACATGTCGTGAGCTGTATGCGCTGTCATTTTGTTCGTGGTGAAGTTACGCGATTGTTTGTTTTATTGTCGGTGAATACAGCTCATTTTCCGATAGACTTTACGACAGGGGGAGCCACCGGCGTCTACTGATACGTTAGTCGAAGTAGCGACTAGTGGAGCGGTATCTTTTATTAATGGCCGATGTTTTTTAGCCAGAAGTGGTTAGAAGGGGTGGCAGCAGTAAACCATGTCGGTACGGTTTACATTGCGCCAGGCCTGGATGCAGATTCAAGCATCCTGACAGGTAATAACGAAAGTAATACAGGGTGTGAGGGACAAGCTGGCAAAAACTTTGACAATGACCATGATTTCTTCCTGCAAAATGTCCTAAAAATACACCGAATTTAGAATAAAATCTAAGCAAGCATTATAAGTCATTCTGCCCTGCAAAACGAAATAATTCATAAACACTTTATAAAACCAACACTTTTATAAACTTTATTCTTTTTTAGAGACGGTGTTCTGAGGCCATTGTAAGTTTTTGTCAACGCGTCCGATACACCCTGTACACTATTTCAGTCTTGATCGATCTAATATGAAAATCGCAATCGTTTGAGCAATTTTGTACCCTATTTTGAATATTATTTTAGATTCATTTACAATTATCGGTAAAAAGGCAGAGAAATTGTCGAAGAAATAATTTACCGACATTGTCCTTTAGAAATCTAGTTTAGTTGGCTTACTTCGTATTTTGAGCTTTGTCAGTCATATTGCAGTGTTCAGAAGCGACATGTTATCATCAGCAAGAAAGTATACTATGTTTGGTCACAGGTGGAATATTGCTGTATTCAAAATTATGAAAGAAAACGCACATTGGGCGACAAAACGCGGCGACAGACGAGAGAGAGAAAAGCTTGTCGCGGAATCGCTACGACATAATAATATGAAATGACGGGCGCATGCGTTTTGTGGCCTCGTCTGTCGCCGCGTTTTGTCGCCCAAAGTGCGCTGTTGCTAAGAGTCTGCTCCATTAAAACAATTTAAACTATCTAACTTTCCACACGTGACCCAACATTGTATACATTGTGTGTTACAATTTGTTTTTCTACAACACCTTACACAACCATTAACCAGTAATATTGACCACCACCATGAAACACAGTCACATAACATCCCCGCTACATTATACACATTGACATTGTACCTTCTCCTGTCGCGTAGACCGGCGTCCGCATCGGCGTCGTCTAGACGGAGCGAGGCGCGCGACACGCACTGTATGTTACCGCATAGGCTGATGATCCGGCTGCAAGCTGATGGGGACGTTATCATCAATGATAAGGTGAGCTTTATGTGTGTGGAATACGGTTCAAAATATACCCCTTCTCAAGGACTTTAAGGGTATAATCCACTTCGATGTTTTTATCCACCGTCCTAAATACAGGGTGACTTTGTTATCAGTATCCAAATATTTTTAATAAGCTCGTTAGAACAATTTGACAATACAGCTTTATCATAATTATTTTTAATTATGGTATTTTTCGCAAAAAAAATAAATATTGAAAGTCTAATTCGCGGGTGCTTAAGTTTTAAAGGTTATTGCTTATTTTCGCTCACCATTATGTCTATTAAGCTTTGCAGTTAACTGTGTGTCCGTATTTTTTCAAAAACGAAGCAAATTTTCCACGTGAGTCAATTTGGAAACCGCGCGCAGCGGATGAAAATAATTAAATATGGAGAAAAAAGTTTTGTTTTCTTTACGTAAATCAATTAAGTTACTGATTCTGAGTCGATCCTGAAAATTTGGATACTGATACAAAAATCAACCTGTATAACTACATACCTAAACTTTCATAAAGATTGATATTGCTTCTAAATTCTACAGGTTTATAACTTAGCATTGTCCAACTACAACAAACCGTCCTATCAGTGACATTGACAGGGGGTGCCACCGTCAATACCGGATTGCTGGTTCCAATTTTTGCTACATTAGACAACCTTATAGTTGAACGACGGTGGCGCCTGGAGTTTGGTGGGACAGTCCAGTGTAGTTCATTTATACATATGACGTGACAGAGCATACAAGTCAGAAGCACATCTGAAGTTTCGCTGACCTTTTGACGTCACAAAAACAACCTTTCGTGCTGCTCCCATATCTCAGGAAGGAAGTGACTCAGTTATGCGCAATATATGTAATTCAGTGACATCATTTATCGTACAACATGTTGAATATTTGTCTAAAGCTTCAACCACACCAACGCGTGCAGATCGCCATCGAATGACAGGTCGCGCGACCCATGACAGTCCGCGCGGCCTGTCATTGGCCTATGATCGCGCCGTGATCCCGCCGGCGAAGGCGCTTTGGTGTGGTTGAAGCATTAATTAGTGATATACATTTTACTTTGACGAAATCTGACTAATTGCGTTCATTAATCGAAATATTTCGGTTATTCCAGACTGAACAGTCGCCTACCGATCCTCACACGCCTCGAAATAAGCCGGACAAACACAAAAAGCCGGTGACCACGCAATCGGAAGAAGAGTATACCTTACAAGCGGCAGTTGTGTGTGTAGAAGACAACCCTAAGAATCTGGTCGCGTACGTCCAAACTAATAAAGAGGACGCCCAGTGGCACCTGTTTAACGATTTAAGGTAAAATGTAGCTTGTGTCTTTTTAATATGGTTTGATATTAGATAACTGTTGTGAACGGCTACTTAGTGGCCCACGTTAGTGTGAGCAGTAGAAAGTTGATAAACTACCTGCCAGTGCAGTTTCATAAATCTAGTAATTTTCTATATTTCGTGTTCAATAACGATTGACTGAACATACACTTTCATAATTATAATTTTATTTTCGTCCTACGAGTACTATACTCATCTCACAAGTTTGCATAGAATTTTACCTATTGCTTTTACGCATTCAAGCTATCAAGTATTTCATATCGTGAGGGACAAAACGAGAATTATGCTCGTTTTCACCATCAATCCCTAATTTTTAAGTGACCCCAAAGAAAACAAAATTCCCAAGTGTTACCATAGGGGTCACCTAAAAATTAGGGATAGATGGTGAAAACGGGTACTTTATCATCAGGTCATTTAGTCTCAATTTCAGGAGGATCTTTTACAGAGGTCAAAGGGAGGATTTGACCTGCACTTTCCTACGTTCTTATGTGATGTTTTCCACAGTATCGTCCCGGTGAGTGAAGAGGAAGTGTTCCAATTCGGTACCTGGTGGAAGACTCCATGCGTGTTGTTCTACTCCACCCTGGCAGCGAGAGTCACCCCGCCCGAGGAGGCAGTGCCCTCATAGCCGACGTTTATGTATGGGCCATATAGCCAGCGGTGAGTTCACAACATACAGGGTGGAAACGATAAGTGATCTCACTCGATTATTTCTAAACTATGCAAGATATCGAAAAACTGGTTACTGATCCTGAAAGTGCTTCACGAGCTCTATCTAACGGTACCAATAATAGGTTACAAAATAAACTGGATCTATCCGAAAATTCAATGTTTCCAGCTTCCATACACTTAGTAAAACCACTTAATATTAAAAACTATACAAGCTATCCAAAAACTGGTTACTGATCCTGAAAGTGCTTCTCGAGCTCTATCCAACGGTACCAACAATAAGTTACAAAATAAACTGGATCTATCCGAAAATTCAATGTTTCCAACTTCCATACATTTAGTACTGCCACAGTCATGGCACTCATGTCTTGATAATATTATAGCAAGTAAAGCCTAGAACCAATGTTTTCCGTGAATCATTTTAAATAAGAATGCAATTTACGAGTTCATTTTATGTGTTTATTAGTTAATAAAAAAATAAAAAATGTGTGGCTGGCATACATTTAGTATGGAGGCTGAAAACATTGAATTTTCGGATAGATCCAGGTAATTATGTAACCTATTACTGATACCGTTAGAAAGAGCTCGTGAAGCTCTTTCAGGATCAGTAACCAGTTTTTCAATATCTTGTGTAATTTAGAAATAATCGAGTGAGATCACTTATCGTTTCCACCCTGTATACTTAAGTTAATAAAGCTCCCCTTTGTATCTTCTTCTTTTCGTGTCGACATCCATGTTTAAGCCATTCAGACAAACCCCCTTTATACACTAGCCGCGGACGAATGTCCAATTTAGGTCAATAATCATGGCTCTGTTTGATTGGCCCCTAAGGACACCGGGTTTCAATGGGTAATGGAGTCACGATTGTTTAGGTATGGGCCAGTCCAGGCCAGACCAGTAAGTTTACAACTTCCATGGTGAAGGTCGAAGCACCTGGATGCGGGTGACGCAGGACCGGTTGTTGTGGAAATCCTTGAAAGAGGCCTTTGTCCAGCAGTAAACGTCACTTGGCTGAAAAATACAGGGTGTTAGGTAAATGGGTATATGAGCCGACACTAGCCCATGTTAACATGGGCATATAAATGGTATGGTGAAGTCAGAAATTTGAATCATTTTATTCTTTTTAATTTTCATACAAAATACATTTTATAAAATCATTTGTATGAAAATTAAAATANCCCCCTTTGTCAGTCATATTGCAGTGTTCAGAAGCGACATGTTATCATCAGCAAGAAAGTATACAATGTTTGGTCACAGGTGGAATATGGCTGTATTCAAAATTAGGAAAGAAAACGCACATTGGGCGACAAAACGAGGCGACAGACGAGAGAGAGAAAAGCTTGTCGCGGAATCGCAACGACATAATAATTTATGAAATGACGGGCGCATGCGTTTTGTGGCCGCGTCCGTCGTGGCGTTTTGTCGCCCAATGTGCGCTGTCGCTAAGAGTCTTTGCTCCATTAAAATAATTTAAAGTCTGCCATATTTTTTTCCATAAGTGACCCAACATTGTATACCCATTGTGTGTTACAATTTGTTTTTCTTTACAACACCTTACACAACCATTAACCAGTAATATTGACCACCACCATGAAACACAGTCACATAACATCCCCGCTACATTATACACATTGACATTGTACCTTCTCCTGTCGCGTAGACCGGCATCCGCATCGGCGTCGTCTAGGCGAAGCGAGGCGCGCGACACGCACTGTGTGTTACCGCATAGGCTGATGATCCGGCTGCAAGCTGATGGGGACGTTATCATCAATGATAAGGTGAGCTTTATGTGTGTGGAATACGGTTCAAAATATACTCCTTCTCAAAGATCTTAAGGGTATAATCCACTTCGAAGTTTTTATCCACCGTCCTAATTTGTAACTAAAGCCTGGTCCGTGAGCACGTAGAATTTTGTCCAATGACCCCAAGCTACCCATCCTTATCGCTCGCGCGTAATTATGTTGCTGTCGCGCTCGCACACTCACTGCGGGCGCCCGTTCCACAGTCGAGACAGCAATATAATTACGCGCGAGCAATAAGGATGGGTAGCTTGGGGTCATTGGACAAAATTCTACGTGCTCACGGACCAGGCTTTACATACCTAAATATTCATATAGATTGATATTGCTTCTAAGTTCTACAGGGTTATAACTTAGCATTGTCCAACTACAACAAACCGTACTATCAGTGACATTGACAGGGGGGCGCCACCGTCAATACCGGATTGCTGGTTCCAATTTTTGCTACATTAGACAACCTTATAGTTGAACGACGGTGGCGCCTGGAGTTTGGTGGGACAGTCCAGTGTAGTTCATTTATACATATGACGTGACAGAGCATACAAGTCAGAAGCACATCTGAAGTTTCGCTGACCTTTTGACGTCAAAAAAACAACCTTTCGTGCTGCTCCCATATCTAAGGAAGGAACTGACTCTGTTATGCGCAAAATCTGTAATTCAGTGACATCATTTATCGTACAACATGTTGAATATTTGTCTAAAGCTTCAACCACACCAACGCGTGCAGATCGCCATCGAATGACAGGTCGCGCGACCCATGACAGTCCGCGCGACCTGTCATTGGCCTATGATCGCGCCGTGATCCCGCCGGCGATGGCGCTTTGGTGTGGCGCACTAATTAATGCAGTGATATACATAGCTTTGACGAAATCTGACTAATTGCGTTCATTAATCGAAATATTTATATAAGTCGGCCGTTTGGTGTAGTGGTTCAGAACGGACCACTATGCCGAGAGGTCCCGGGTTCGATTCCCGGCCGAGCAGAAATTGAAATGATGAATTTTAATTTCTGTGACGGGTCTGGGTGTTTTCTATGTATAATATGTATGTATTTACAAAAAAAGTATTTAAGTATGTTTATATCCGTTGTCTAGTACCCATAGTACAAGCTTTGCTTAGTTTGGGGCTAGCGGCGCAGTGTAAAATGTCCAAGGATATTTATTTATTTATTTATTATTTATTTCGTTTATTCCAGACTGAACAGTCGCCTACCGAGCCTCACACGCCTCGAAATAAGCCGGACAAACACAAAAAGCCGGTGACCACGCAGTCGGAAGAAGAGTATACCTTACAAGCGGCAGTTGTGTGTGTAGAAGACAACCCTAAGAATCTGGTCGCGTACGTCCAAACTAACAAAGAGGACGCCCAGTGGCACCTGTTTAACGATTTAAGGTAAAATGCAGCTTGTGTCTTTTTAATACGGTTTGATGTTGGAAAGCTGATGTGATGACTGAACATCTGACTTGTGGTTTGCGTAGCTGCTAAATCTATGGACTAATGTTAGAGTATTCGGTTGAGAGATATAACGATATAACAACCTTTGTTGTATCTGTGATAACCTACCTGCCAATTTCTGGCTTCTTAGGTCAACTAGTTTTCTATTATTTCGTGTTAAGTATGCGAGTGAATGAACAAATGAGTGAACTTATACTTTCATAGAGTTTTGTCTATTGGTTCTATACTCCTCTCACTTACTTTTACTCATTTAATTATGCTTGCTAAGAATTTTACCTAGTGCTTACCTACCAAGTATTCCATATCGTGAGTGATAAAAGGAGAGTAGGGGTAATCCCAACTAATATTATAAATGCGAAAGTAACTCTGTCTGTCTGTCTGTCTGTTACGCTTTCCCGCTTAAACCTCGCAACCGATTTTGATGAAATTTGGCATATAGATAGTTTGAGTTCCGGGAAAGAACATAGGATAGTTTTTATCCCGGTTTTTGAAGCAGGGACGCGCGCGATAAAGTTTTTCTGTGACAGACAAAATTCCACGCGGGCGAAGCCGCGGGCGGAAAGCTAGTTAGTTATAAAAATGTACCCTCCCTTGTTTCAAATCTTATTCTTCTGCTCTGCCTTTTTCCATTTCATTTGGCGTCGGCCCTCCTTATTCTAAGGCGCTTGTATAGTCTGTTTTTGGGTTGTCTGTTTTAATATAACTAATTTATTTCCACAGTATCGTCCCGGTGAGTGAAGAGGAAGTGTTCCAATTCGGTACCTGGTGGAAGACTCCATGCGTGTTGTTCTATTCCACCCTGGCAGCGAGGGTGACCCCGCCTGAGGAGGCTGTGCCCTCATAGCCGACGTTTATGTATGGGCCATATAGCCAGCGGTGAGTTTACAACATACAGGGTGGAAACGATAAGTGATCTCACTCGATTATTTCTAAACTATGCAAGATATCGAAAAACTGGTTAGTGGAACTGGATCCTGAAAGTGCTTCACGAGCTCTATCTAACGGTACCAATAATAGGTTACAAAATAAACTGGATCTATCCGAAAATTCAATGTTTCCAACTTCCATACATTTAGTACTGCCACAGTCATGGCACTCATGTCTTGATAATATTATAGCAAGTAAAGCCTAGAACCAATGTTTTCCATGAATCATTTTAAATAAGAATGCAATTTACGAGTTCATTTTAAGTGTTTATTATTTGATAAAAAAAATACACATTTCATATTGTGTGGCTGGCATACATTTAGTATGGAGGCTGAAAACATTGAATTTTCGGATAGATCCAGTTAATTCTGTAACCTATTACTGATACCGTTAGAAAGAGCTCGTGAAGCTCTTTCAGGATCAGTAACCAGTTTTTCAATATCTTGTGTAGTTTAGAAATAATCGAGTGAGATCCCTTATCGTTTCCACCCTGTATACTTAAGTTAATAAAGTTCCCCTTTGTATCTTCTTCTTTTCGTGTCGACAACAAACCTAGTGTCAGCCCAAAACTCCGCCACAAGAGTGGCGTTGTCAGCAGCATTCATCAAATCCTGAGTGCAGTTGGTCGGGCACTCAGGGCACGACATCAGGTGCTTCATCGACTAGGGAACAAAATCGCTCCTGCACTCCATTTTTAAGCCATCCAGACAAACCCCCTTTGTATACTAGCCGCGGACGAATGTCCAATTTAGGTCAATAATCATGGCTCTGTTTGATTGGCCCCTGAGGACATTGTTTAAGTATGGGCCATATAGTATAGCCAGCGGTGAGTTTACAACTTCCACGGACGTAGTGAGGGCAGGCCTTCAACTAGGTCGACTCGACATACGATCTGGTGAAGGTTGAATCACATGGATGCGGGTGACGCAGGACCGGTCGTTGTAGAAATCCTTGAAGGATTTTTTCCAGCAGTAAACGTCACTTGGCTGAAAATATACAGGGTGTTAGGTAAATGTTAACATGGGCATATAAATGGTATGGTGAAGTCAGAAATTTGATATCATTTTATTATTTTTAATTTTCATGCAAAATAAATTTAATAAAATCAGGTTTGTATGAAAATTAAAATAATTAAAATGAAGATATCATTTTTTTTACGTCACCATATACATACCATTTATATGCCCATGTTAACATGGGCTAAAGCCTGGGCCGTGAGCACGTAGAATTTTGTCCAATGACCCCAAGCTACCCATCCTTATCGCTTGCGCGTAATTATATTGCTGTCGCGACTGTGCGACACGCGCCCGCAGTGAGTGTGCTAGCAAGACAAAATTCTACGTGCTCACGGACCAGGCTTTAGTGTCGGCTCATATACCCATTTACCTAACACCCTGTAGAACTCGTTAACAATAATTTAGGACTTACGCCCTTTATAAACTTTTTACTTGCAAGACTGGCTTCAGAAAACTTCTGAACTACAGAATAATAACTCACTATATTCCGTTCTATAAATTCTATTGTTTTCTATTCCAGGTCTATGGGCCCATACGACATGAACGCCATGTTCTACCAACTACCGCAAGACGCACACTACGGCTACGTCCAACAGACGTATTAGCTCAAGTGATTCCAAGTAAAGTGAACTGAACAAAATGCATATTTTAACATTGTGATAGGTAGGTAAGCTAGAATTATAGATTTAAGAGAGCGAGACCCACACAATACTGTTTGCGTTCCATACGCTTGTAGTTTTATTATTTATTTAAATTATTAATTAGTAATAATAATTTTTAATACATTCAAAAGTCGTGCAACATAATAATTCACCTCAGTAGAGCAATAAAGTGTAAAATAAAATATTTTTGTTAATATTAATAATATGTTAAACGACTTTTGTAATGGCATCACAATGTTATTTTAACAATACATCATCGTTGATGTAGTCCGGGAGCCACACCCGTGAATTATCAACCTATTGAATTCACAATTTAATTATAAAAAGTGTTTTAAGAGCAATAAATTATTATTTTTATCCGTATGGAATGCAAAACGTTTAGTGTGCGATATTCTCATAATAATCCGTTGGTGATTGCGCGAGTACTGGTACGTCCATATTTTGTGATGCATGACGAGAGTGTACTTATTGGCTATAAATAATTTTATCGATGGAAGAGGCGGGATACGGAAGAATTACTTGTTTTAACGATGCACCCGGTGGGAGAATGCGACTGTTTAAGAGAACCGTTGTTATTTTGTATAATATAAGCTTAAGTGAGGCTGCGTACATTGACAAGTTTAGGTATGGGTTGTCGACCAATTGCAAAATAGTATTTTTATTTTATTTCAATGGAGGAGGCTTTTGCGTAGTATGTCTTGTTATATCTTTATTGGGGAAGTTAGTCATCTTTATCCATGTAAATTTACATTATTTATTACGTAACTGTTACTCCGTACTCCGTACATTATTACTGCTTACGTTTGCCAATTTACGATGTAACTACGTACTATAGCATTTTAGTTCAATTGAAGATTTGGAATTGTTGACAATCCTTTGCAACAGAACAATGTCAAGAGCCATACAAACAAAGTCAAATAATACACCTATTGTTGCCTTCAGATCCAAAGTGCCTGCATAACTGTGCCACAAATGCTATTTTATAAGATAAAGAAACAGTAGTATTCTCCCGCCGGTCTCAGAAGTTATAATAGCCACATGTGTTCCTAACTTAAAACTTATAAAACAGTCGACCGTATTTTAAAACGTGTGGAGGCTCAAAAATTCTTGTGGTATAGAATTTTGTTATGTTTTGTGATAGCAAACAATTTAAAAGTTAATATTGAAGAAAATATATTTTTATGATACTGTCCCCAGCATAATAATGTCCTGATGTATTTTTTTTAACATTATAACAATTTTACTGCACGTTCGACGACTTCTTAAAACAAATTCTACAAATACAACTGTTTTTAATCGAAGAGTTTGGATACAAATTATGTATCTACAAATAATTGTTACACAAAATCAGTGAAAGTTTTAAATCTCACAACATCAATGAAAGTTGTCAATCTATGTTTCTATAATGTAAGTATTTTTGCCTTGGCCTCCCGGTCTATACATTTGAAAGAGCGTGAGGTATGAAATAGAAGACCTGAGAATAGTATTCTGATGTGTTTTGGACTTTATGGAATTCTTTTAAGGCTGGAACTATTTTCATGCGCGCAGGCATAAAGCTTGTTAACCATTCTGGTAAAATAATGCTTTTTGATGCGCCGATTTAACGCGTTTAAATTTTGTTGAAAATACCATATTTAGGCACTTTAAATCCTTAAAGAACAAATTGAATAAAAATAATGCATATAAACGAATTGGCATATTTTTGTCCGGTCATAAAGTTATTATGAAATAAATTTATACATTTTGAAGTTATATTATCAATGATATTGTCAGATCATCATGTGTACAAATTTCTACAGATTTAGATACAATAACTGAACTACGAAATCAAAAACTAAATCCACGGTAAATACAAAAATTGACTGTTACTTGAACAAAAGATGAACAATACGATTTATATACATGTTTTTTCTGAAAAGTCTATATTTACTATGGATTTAGAACTGGGGGGTTACTCCGAAAAACGTTATCCTAACGTTATCGAATGTTGCCATCCTTCTCACGCAAAGCGAAATGCCAGCATGAGCGACAGTGACAGATAGAACGCGTTTTGGAGTAGCCCAGCTGGTTAGAATTTATATTTAACATGCTTGTTTTTGTTTATCCGAAAGACAATAAAAGTTTTCCAAGCCGTCATCATTTTGGGCATTATGTTCTTTTCGAAATGTAGGTTCTTATTTACTTGTTATTAAATTAATCGCGGTAAATTAACAGGCTGTTATATTTTTATGGTTGTGATTTGTATGTTTTTGAAATACCTACGTCATTTTACACTTCTTTGTTATCGTCACAATCAGTATTTTTGATTCTCATAAATTATTACGCTCGATTCTACGCTTAAATTATGGTGGCTGGTTTTAAATAAAATAAAAAGTAAAATTTTAAAACTTCTTTTATTTTTCTTCTCAGTAAGTTATTCCCTAATCGAACTTAAATAATTACTTTTAAAATATTAAAATAATTCCATTTCTTAGAATCTATAACATGAGATCAGTCAGGACTTGCTAGTCCTTTAACACTGATTTTCAAAAATAAAACACCGTTCACAGGCACTCTGCCTATGTATGACTAAATCCCTACTGCCTGTCATTATTTTATATTAAGGCCTATTCAAACCTGAGCGATATTCGCTGCTGCTGTGGGTAGAGGTACATACCGCGCGGGTTTCGCTCAGGTATTTAGTATCAAGTACCGCGGCTAGAGCGTTTTCTCTGCCGCAGACGGTAGCGAATACCGCTTAGGTCTGAACAGTATTATTACCGCATACCCACTGGGTTTTCTCTGCCGCAGACGGTAGCGAATACCGCTTAGGTCTGAATAGGCCTTTACGAAAGTAATTCAAGAATCCTTCAAATGGTCTTTATACCTATCAACATTTCTCATCTCAGTCTTGTGATTCTCATCAAGCACGCAAGTCCTCTCATGTCTTTGTATTGCTACCTTCTTTATGTGCTCATACACTGTCGGGTAGCACGCTATTGAGGAGTTGAAGTCTTCTCTGTTCAGTCTAAAGAGTTCGCAATTGGTGACAGCTACAACGGACACGGTTCGTAAGCGATGTTTCATTACAAGAGCGATCTCGCCGAAGAAATCCCCGTCTTCAAGATGGCAGACCTCTTTGCCTGATTCGGAGTAGATGGCCACAGTGCCTTTGTCGATGAAGTAGAGGCAGTCGCCTGGGAAATTACATTGAAGGTTAGCACTTTGAACGCCTACTCAGTTTCTGTTTGGCCCAAAGGTGAGAAGGGTAAGTTCGCCTTTTGTACTGCATTTTTTTGTGTGCAATAAAGTTTTTACTCGTAATGGGTTGCGGCTTTCGGTCTGTGTTTTGGATTAGATTTCTAGATTGGACCAACTTCAATAGGATAAGGATAGTATAGGTTTGAATATCCAAATCGTCCGAAAAGATTCCGTGCTTTGAAAGTTATGATTGGTTTGTGAACACTTTTGTGAAAGACTGTAAGTACCTACCTCACCATTGTAATCTACATGTTCAATTTTTGTAGTTCTAACGTTTTTTTTAATTGGCACTATGACATATACTTGTTCGCAATACAGCCAACTAAAATAAAGTACACCGTAAGAAGCTTTCTGCCAAATAGGCGTCTTTCGCTAAACAATTTGCTACAAGCGCTCACCAACAGTGTTGATCTTGTAAATAATGTCTCCAGCGATGAATATGACCAGCTTGAGCTTGAAGCCGATCTGCAGCAGCAGCGTCCGCGGCATTTGCTTGAGGAACTCCAGCTCTCGCACCAGCTGTCTTCCTGTGTGCATAATGATGTCTTCCCGGAGCTGGCCCGATACACAGGCTAGGATCGGCGCTTCCTATTTGAGTAAGTTGTCTATTAATTTTAATTCATTGTCCGTATAGCACTGCTGCAGTGAAACAACATCGAGGAGGCTCCTGTACCATTTTAACTTTAACTGTAGCCTTTTTCACGTAACAAAACTTCTACGACAACAAATACTGAGTTGCGATCCTATCGAGTAATCGTTCTATCCAAATGACCCTTGTGAACACGGATTTAGAAATGTTTTTCAATGGGACGACGTAACAAAACTTCAAGGACAACAAAACACTGAGTTGCGATCCTAACGAGTAATCGTTTTATCGAAAACGACCCTTGTGAATACGGATTTAGAACTGTTTTTCAATGGGACGACTTCTGAACGTCAGCGAGATCTTGACTGTCAAAATACGTGAATTAGGCCACTGCTCAACGTCATCGTCATCATCTCAACCATTGGTAGTAGACTCTTCCAAGGAGCTCTACAAAGCATGGGCGATTTTCCGGTTGTTTTTTGTTTTTTAAGTTTTTAAATTGTTTTTACCTGTGGGAACCTATAAGTGGTTTACTCGTTGCCTATCTTATGTCATTATTACACACTGTAAAACCCTGGTTTTCCTAAATAAATAAAAAAAAAATAGTTAAAAATTGGGGAATAGGCAACAATTTCTAAATGTATCTCATGACATTCTGTTTTTATACATACCGTATTTATTAAAGGCATGTATTTAAATGATCTTTTTAAATTAGCAAAAANGGACTATTTTTAAAATATCTAAATATTTGCTAATAAGTAGGATTACAGCTTTATTTCTTCGTTATCTTAAAGATTAATATTCATCCTTCAAAATTGTGTGTGTGTTTTTTTTGTGTGATGATTTATAAATATAAAACTTTTGAACTGTTTCAAAGCACACTTTTTTTTTTCAAAATGTACATTTTTTTTTGAGAAATCCTCACCTACCTTACTATTGTAATCTACATGTTCAATTTTTGTAGTTGTAATTGTTTTTTTTTATTTGGCACAATGAGATGCATCAATTGAAAACGGTAACAATATGATAGACTTGTTCGCAACACAGCCAAGTAATATAAAATTCACCAAAAAAAGCTTTCTGCCAGATAGGCGTCTTTCGCTAAACAATTTACTACTACCACTCACCAACAGTGTTGATCTTGTAAATAATGTCTCCAGCGATGAATATGACCAGCTTGAGCTTGAAGCCGATCTGCAGCAGCAGCGTCCGCGGCATTTGCTTGAGGAACTCCAGCTCTCGCACCAGCTGTCTTCCTGTGTGCATAATGATGTCTTCCCGGAGCTGGCCCGATACGCAGGCCAGGATCGGCGCTTCCTATTTGGGTAAGTTGTCAATTAATATTATAGTCTATCCAAAATAGCTTGATTAGAATGACAGCTGTGACTAGCGCTGGGTATGTTTCGTACGGTTCACATAGATGTATCGATAAGTTTTCGAAAAAATGATATAAAAAAATGCACCCAATTTTTCTTCATATCTTTATTCATAAAAATGACAATTATAAGTAATTTTAATTTAAAGACAGTAAAATTTAAAATTCATGTCAAGGGTGTACAACCTAAGTCGTAGTCATTATCATCAGTGTTCTTCAGTGGCTTTTTCCTCTCGCTAGAAGGCGGTGGGCATCTCTTCTAGAGCAACGGTGCTATGAATACCCAAAAAATTACCGGTGATTAATTTCCGATGTTTGATTATTTAAGAATGAAATGCTTTTTGGTTTTTAATAGTGAACATTTAGAAAAACGTATAACTTGACTTAAATATGTTAAAAAATTAGTTAGAAAACAATTTAGTTAAATATGTTAAAAAAATTGTTTTAATTTAATATGACATTTGTCGATATTATTATGTCCCATCACTAACATTTTTGTAACTCGAGATAACCTTGTAGAGACGTCGTTAATACTCTAGCTTGATTTTTATAATTTCGAATTACTACTTATTGGTGTATTTAACGCTGCATTTACACGAAATTAACATTTTTATTGGAAGCACTGTCGTCGAAAATATTGTTTGTAGGTCAGACGTGAATTATTTCTTGTCCGCCAATATTTAGCTCTCATTGATCGCTTCTACCACGGTAATACTATCTATACAGTATTCCAACTCGGCCATATTTTTTAAATAAATGTCAACAGCCGCGTGGAACGTCACCGTATGACAACATGCGATAGGGCTGCCCACTTGCAGACCCTATTTTCATTACATCTGCCTACTTTGAATGAGGATCAGTACTGTTGTAGAAAATTCAATAAAACTAGTATCTACGTTAATCTTTAAGACATAAGAATCTTTTTGAATTATCCAAATCGGACCATTACTTACGAAGATATTAAGTAATAAACATAGGCCGTTTTTGCCGCTAAAAGTCAACGTACGCAGGGCCGCGTGACGTCACTATATCCGAATCGAGCGCAGCCGGCATACTATTGGGATGGAAAATATTTATTTCCAGCTAAACTATCAGTTTTAGAAAAAAAACTTTTTAAAATTTATTCATCAAAATAAAGTAACCTATCGACCAGTAATTTTTAAAAATAAAAATTGTGAAAAATAAGTATCGCTATGTCCAAAAACCACATTTTCATAGGATTCGATGCAATGCGGAGACGCGGTTGGGGTGAGTGTAACTTAATGATTGTTTGTATTGAACATAATAATACATAATAATTATGACGCTAATACCCAGTTTCTGGNGTCATACCTAGCTTATGCTTATGGCCTGGGGGAAGGGGCTAGCCTTACCCAGCTTCTGGCCTGGGGGGAGGGGGGATTCAAGTCATACCCAGCTTCTGGCCGAGGGGGAAGTCATGCCCAGCTTATGACCTGGGGAGAGGAGGGGGGCGGGGGAGTCATACCCAGCTACCAGGCTAAGATTAAATAGATTTCAAGGATTGAGCAGATGTCCTTTCCTGCAGCAGCTGGCCCGCCCATGGGAACGGCGAATAGATAGGTAGGTACGTAGGTTTA